TTGAGTTGATCTGAAATGACTCTTCCATGTTTCAGCTCCACAGACAAGACGCAACACCACCATTGGTCTTGTCAGACGTCTCAGGGACCTGAGTTCGTAGACTACAAAAATACTTCTGGGGTCAAAGGGTCTACAAAAACCAACCTGTGCAGGCCAAACCCACCAACAAGGCATTGGGGCCCATAGGGGATACAGAATCACCATGAAAACATATCGAGAAAAACCATGGAAAAACCAAACTTTTGGAGGCTATTTTTTTCCATTCAATCTCTTTCATAAAAATTGCACTTCTGTGCATTTTTGGTGGGCCGGTCAGGACCTAGTGGTTTTGAGTACCCTGGAACGTCCCCGACACCAAGCATTCAGGTGCTTGCACATTTAAAAATAGAAGACATATACAAAAAAGATCTCGCAAGTAGGTATGAAGGAAATACAGCCACACCATTCCCAAACCCAAACCACGTCATTCTCACCACTGAATCTTCTCAATCACAGGCATTCACCTGTGAAAGTGTCCAATCTGAGTTCAGTTAATGTCTGTTCTTAGCTTTCAACAAGTTAGTAAAATGGATCAAAGCGGATCCATTCTGGAACAAAGGAACTGTGCAGTCTTGGCGCAAAAGCAATCAAAAGAATACGATGGGACAGCCATGGGTGTCTTCACACCTTCATGTGCTGGGAATCATCGACATCAGATTGCGAACTGATCACGACAGGGTCTTCGACCATCATGGTATCGCTGGCAGAATCCTCTATGATCTCTGCAGGGGACACCGGAGAAACAGGCCGATTCATCCAGCACTGGAACAAGGACTTACAAAACTCACTAGTGAATTCTGCGGAGGAAGCTAGATCTTTTCCTCCTGTCCATTGCGATTTTCCATCTGCTTTCCTGCTGCGTGTGTAATATACCTGCAGCAGTGTGTTGTGAAACATTGGCAGGCTAGAAACACATTATGTATCATTATGATTCATTATGTATCATTTGTATTCATTTCTATTCATTTGTAGGCATCTGAAATTGGTTTGCCTAATTTATATTTCAGGAAAAAACACAATATCCTGAACTCATGACAAACAAGCTGCTTTCTTGTTCTGTCTCCTTGCTTGGCGCCGCCTGAAACGCTTGCTGATGCGAAGTCTGTCTGCTTTGGTCATCTTTCGCCGCAACTCCACGGCCGAGCTGCAGGGAGCATGAGGGGCAGGGAATGTAATTGATTCATACTGATGAAAAAGAGGTCAAGCTGTGCAAAATAAAACATTGCTGTGAGGTTGGCTTGACCTAAAAAGATCATTATAGATCTATATAGATCTATATAGTTCAAACATCTTCAAACACGTACCTATTAAATCGTATTAACACATATCGACACTTGGTTTACCCTGCCAGCCCTGCCTCAAGTTGCTGCTTAAGTGCGTACACTTGTGCATGTCGTGATTGTAGAGCCCCATCCACGTAACCACAATGAACCTGTGCCCAACCATCTGATCCCAGAATACATATAGCTACAGAAAGGAATTCCATATGGATCCATGCTACATAAAGAGTTTCTGGCATTCCCAAATGGTTTTTGAAATTACACTCACTGAATCTTACTGATCCATACTGACCCCCCAAAACAACTGACAGTATAGCACGAAGGTTCAAAGCCCAGGGACAGATTGAGTGCAGCAGCAAGCTGCAACATGAACTCCTGCTTATACGCCCAGGACCCACTTGGTTGTTCAATGATCAGAAAAAGTGAAGGACGGGCGTCAAACAACAGCTGGATGCATACAGCCTTGTCTGCACGGCCAACCCCATCCCCCAAAAACATCCAAAAACAACAAAAAAAACATAACATCTAAGCCATCGATATCGCCTCATATGAAAAAGTTGAACTTCGTGGAACAATTCTTTTAAGAAAATCCATTGCAACTTGAAAAGGAACTGTGTTAAGCCATATCCTCTGACTCAATCTAACCTTGTAGTTTGACTGGTCCCCAGCGGGATTGGCCTTTGACCTTTTGTGGACACTCTGACAAGCAGGCCCCATCAATGAACAGGGCGGTTGTGCCACTACCAGGCCAGAGTCCACCATCCTAAGCTTTGCAGCAGGGTGGCTACAAAAAGTACTGGACAATCTCCATCATCCTACATAAAGAGTTTTGGGACCTGCTATTGAAAAATAAATCTTACTTTCAATTTAAAAACTGGGAATCCTGGATCCCAAAGTCAGCAAGTGTTTGACCCCGGAAACGGAGCAGACATCGTGAGAATCTGAAAGTTTGATGTCGAAGCTTTCTGAGGCATAGCCACGATCAATCCATGTGGACTTGACTTTCTGGGATGCACCAAACAAGTCTAAGCAATGCAGTGTCTGCTCGACAGTGCGCATGGTCTCTTGCAAAAAGTCTGCCAAGTACTGTGTGTTCGCCTCTGCTGCGAACCACCTGAGGATGCTACGAGCTGAGCGCAGGAAAGCGTGTCCAAATCCATAAATGCATCCAAATGCATTCTATTCATCCAAATGTATCCAAATGTCTCCCAAAAGGGAATATGGTGAATTGTTTCCGAGCTACTCACCCTCATGTGTCAAGCAAGTTGTATCATCCTTCAAACTTGGCAAGGCCCCCAAGCTGCTCGCAAACAAAGCTGCCATGAAGCAACAACGAAGCATAGTAGAAGATACCATGGCCATGGCACTGCAACGACTGCAAGGCCACAAGAAAGGATATCACGACAGCCACCAAATCTCTAGACCCTGATCTCCAACTCCGAGCCATCAACATGGATTCAGCAGCAAAACGACCTTGCGCACTCCACTATTATGTTTCATGTCTATGGCTTTGTTTGGCAGGCATGATATCTTCCAGTACCTACAGAAACCATCAAAATATTGGGACACCATGGATGGATCCTACAAAAACATTTTTTTTACATTCCTGCAGAGCATCCGACGAATTCCACATTGCCAAGTCACTGCTTCCGGTATCGGATCATCCGCAGTCTTGTCAGGCACCATAGGTACCTAGGCTGCAACAACAGGAGGTTCAACTTACCAATTGATTATCATGTCACCTAAATACAATCTCACCAGGACGCATTGCATCTATTCTTGTTGAATAATTGTAAATGTATATTATATTCTATTATATTTTATTATATTATATTGATTATTATATTATATTATATTTTATTGTATTATATTGATTTGAACTTTCCATGTCTCACCTCCACAGACAAGACGCAGCTCCGGGATGAAGATCAGCACCATCTGTGGTCTTGTCAGACGTCTCAGGGACCTGAGTTCGCAGACTACAAAAATACTTCTGGGGTCAAAGGGTCTACAAAAACCAACCTGTGCAGGCCAAACTCACCAACAAGGCATTGGGGCCCATAGGGGATACAGAATCACCATGAAAACACATCGAGAAAAACCATGGAAAAACCAAACTTTTGGAGGCTGTTTTTTTCCATTCAATCTCTTTCATAAAAAATGCACTTCTGTGCATTTTTGGTGGGCCGGTCAGGACCTAGTAGTTTTGAGTACCCCCGAACGTCCCCGACACCACACTTTTCCACAATTTTTTTTCCTTGATCAGCCAATGCCTTTCAGATGTCCCAAAATTGTCCCTCTTCATTCATTGGATCTCACTGCTCCTCTGGATCCATGTTGAGAGCCTCGGTGACACGCCTCAAGGCCTTCTCGAGAAAAACCAACTTTGCCTCAATCCTGCGCAAGTTGGTCTGGGTCTGGGCATCTTCACTGTCTTCGAAATCAAAGATCACCTCGAAATCATCACCTTCTCCAACATTTGCGGGCTTGGTGCTCTGGGACCGCCCTAGCTTGGTTCCTGTCAACGGGTCCCTGACTGGAACTTTTTGTCCATGATCCTCTGCGGACTTGACCATCAACTCGACAAAGTGCAAGAATTTCTTGTGACAAAGTTTTGGTGAGGAGGCGAGGTGCTGAGTACACCACAACACCCACATCTGGTCCATCTCCCAGATCTGGATATATTTTTTGGAGCGACGATCTGTGCTGCCAAAGCCAAGCTCACATTGCTTCAGCTGGTCTAAGGAGAGGTGGCGAAACTCCTTGGTGCCCTCGTCCGGCATCTCCTGAAATTCCTGAACTTTCTGCAAGCGCTGGGCAAGTTTTGACATGGTGGCAGCGACACAATGGTAATGTCTTGGGCAATGGCTTTCTGCCTTGTGCTTGGAACTTCTAAGCCAAAAGAGGCTCTGGGATATGCAGATCGCAAGACAATACTTGCCAAACAGGTGCCCCTTTCAATCCTAAAAAAACAAAATCCATGCATTTAAGCTACGAAAAGGTTTTTGGGCCTGGTACGTTTCCTATATTAATACCTCTCCCAAAGTTCTTCACATTATCATTTTTCAATACTTGTCAAGCCTAGCTATGATGGAAAAGTCTTTGGTATGCAACATTCCCAACCAATGGCACAGCCCCATCAGCCAAGACACCTGCTCATGGGAAAAGAATTCTGTGGTGTCAGGCTCGAAGTTGTCCAGCAAATAACAAAGCTCGTCAAAAGAATCCTGGCTGTTTGCCAGAACATTGTTCCCGTCACATGTTTGTACGCCCTGGCTTCGTCTTAAAGCTGTGGAAAAAAATGCTTCATTTGTATGATACACGTGTGTCTTCTTTCGCTAGACAACATCGCCCAAACCATATGTCTACACATCTACCCTTGTTGTTGGTCCACCCTCAACCCCCCAGAGCAGCAAGGCCACAGCCTTAGGCTTCGACTCATCAGCTGCAGCTTTCTCGGCGGTCTTGTTGTCCTTCTTCTTCAAGGGTTCCTCGGAGTGTGTGCAGAGTGACCTCTACTGGGACATTTCTACACAAACAACATCGCAATGCCATGGCCCTACAAAAACAAAACTAATTCCTCAAAAAAATGTTGCTTATCCTTTTTTGCTACAAAGTGATCCTTTTTGCTCCATTTTTATTCATTTTTGAGATCCTTTGTTGTGGTCCAACCCTCAACCCCTAGAGCAGGAAAGATACAGCTGCAGGCTTCGACTCAGCAACTGCAGCTTTCTCGGCGGTCTTGTTGTCCTTCTTCAAGGTTTCCTCAGAGCGTGTGCAGAGTGATCTCTACTGGGAAATGTCTACACAAACAACATCGCCAATGCTATGGGCCTACAAAAACGGACTGATTATATAATTCAAAAATATTCAAAATAGTTTGTATTAACTGTTTGGGATCCTTGTTGATTCTTTTTGATCCTTGTTTTATCCTCTTTTTTTGGTCCCACCCTCAACCCCCTTGAGCAGCAAAGCCACAGCTGCAGGCTTCGACTCAGCAACTGCAGCTTTCTCGGCGGTCTTGTTGTCCTTCTTCTTCAAGGGTTCCTCAGAGCGTATGCAGAGTTATCTCTGCTGGGAAATGTCTACACAAACAACATCGCCAATGTTATGGGCCTACAAAAACAAAACTGATTCCTCCAAAATATTTTTTTTTCAAACTGTTTGGGATCCTTGTTGATTCTTTTTGATCCTTGTTTTCTCCTCTGTTTTTGGTCCCACCCTCAACCCCCTTGAGCAGCAAAGCCACAGCTGCAGGCTTCGACTCAGCTGGTGCAGCTTTCTCGGCGGTCTTGTTGTCCTTCTTCTTCAAGGGTTCCTCAGAGCGTATGCAGAGTTATCTCTGCTGGGAAATGTCTACACAAACAACATCGCGATGCCATGGCCCTACAAAAACAAAACTGATTTCTCCCAAATAGTTTTTTTTTTCAAACTGTTTGGGATCCTTGTTGATTCTTTTTGATCCTCGTTTTCTCCTCTGTTGTTGGTCCCACCCTCAACCCCCTAGAGCAGGAAAGACACAGCTGCAGGCTTCGAATCAGCAACTGCAGCTTTCTCGGCGGTCTTGTTGTCCTTCTTCAAAGTTTCCTCAGAGCGTGTGCAGAGTGACCTCTACTGGGAAATGTCTACACAAACAACATCGCCAATGCTATGGGCCTACAAAAACAAAACTGATTTCTCCAAAATAGTTTTTTTTTCAAACTGTTTGGGATCCTTGTTGATTCTTTTTGATCCTCGTTTTCTCCTCTGTTGTTGGTCCCACCCTCAACCCCCTAGAGCAGGAAAGACACAGCTGCAGGCTTCGACTCAGCAACTGCAGCTTTCTCGGCGGTCTTGTTGTCCTTCTTCAAAGTTTCCTCAGAGCGTGTGCAGAGTGACCTCTACTGGGAAATGTCTACACAAACAACATCGCCAATGCTATGGGCCTACAAAAAACAGACTGATTAATTCAAAATAGTTTTTATTAACTGTTTGGGATCCTTGTTGATTCTTTTTGATCCTTGTTTTCTCCTCTGTTTTTGGTCCCACCCTCAACCCCCTTGAGCAGCAAAGCCACAGCTGCAGGCTTCGACTCAGCTGGTGCAGCTTTCTCGGCGGTCTTGTTGTCCTTCTTCTTCAAGGGTTCCTCAGAACGTATGCAGAGTTATCTCTGCTGGGAAATGTCTACACAAACAACATCGCCAATGTTAGGGGCCTACAAAAACAAAACTGATTCCTCAAAAAAATATTGTTAATCCTTTTTGCTACAAAGTAATCCTTTTTGCTTCTTTTTTAAATCTTGTTTTCTCCTCTGTTTTTGGTCCCACCCTCAACCCCCTTGAGCAGCAAAGCCACAGCTGCAGGCTTCGACTCAGCTGGTGCAGCTTTCTCGGCGGTCTTGTTGTCCTTCTTCTTCAAGGGTTCCTCAGAGCGTGTGCAGAGTGACCTCTAATTAGAAATGTCTGCGCAAACAACATCGCCAATGCTATGGGCCCAAAAAACAAAACTTATTCATCAAAAAAAATAAATGATTGTTTTGATCAATTTTGATTTTTTTTTGATCCTTGTTTTCTCCTCTGTTTTTGGTCCCACCCTCAACCCCCCTTCAGCAGCAAAGCCACAGCTGCAGGCTTCGACTCAGCTGGTGCAGCTTTCTCGGCGGTCTTGTTGTCCTTCTTCAAGGTTTCCTCAGAGCGTGTGCAGTGTGATCTCTACTGGGAAATGTCTACACAAACAACATCGCCAATGTTATGGGCCTACAAAAACAAAACTGATTCATAAAAAAAAATGATTTTTTGATCATTTTTTTTTGTCCTTGTTGGATCCTCTGTTGTGGTCCCACCCTCAACCCCCTAGAGCAGCAAAGACACACCCCCATCCTTGCTTTTCTTCTTTCCCTTCACGGATTCCTCCAAGCCCCGTGCAGAAAAACAATGAAGGGTGAGCGAATGCGGGTGGCTCAAGAGGTTGTTGGTAAATAAGATTCAAACAATAAAAATATATACAGCTAGTGGCCGCCCATTGTGTACCCTGGGTGCAAACATGTGGCAGCTGGAGCGGCTTCATCTTTGCGCTCAGCCAAAAATTGCTTTTCAGTCTTTTCCTCAGCTTGAACACTTGACGGTGTCAAAATTTGCCTTTCTGTAGTACTCGGCTAATGCCCAAAACAATTTGTAGAGTTACCCCACCAAGGTGGCCGCACGCAGCCAAACAATCCCCACATGTAGTTTTTTCATGTTTTTTCTTTCTGTAATGGCTCAACCTTGTGCGTGACAATTTGTAGAGGCCCTTACTGCTGCCAAAACTCGACTTTCTGAATTTTCCTGTGGGCACTGATAGCCAAGCAAGTGGTCCATACCTTCTCATCCCTTAGAAAGTGGGTGAGGGCAATCTACGTTGACTCCAATGCAGGGACATGCATGCGACAAAAGGTCAAGGCTTCCACCCTGTAGATTTCAAAGGTTTTGTTTGTGTGCACCAATAAGGCAAAGAATATATACAGATATATACAGGACATTGCAGGACAAGGCTCCAATCATAGAACACATGGTGCCACTTGCGGCCATCTTTGCCCATCTTTTGGCACTGGGTGACTTAGATGCCACACTGGAATGCAGCATGCAGAACCCAAGCATGCAGCATGCAATCCCTATATTGGAAAAACATATTCCTTTCAAAGCAACAAAACATCATACTGTACAAGTTTACAACCCACCACGGCTTTGAATTTCTGTAGCTCATTCCACCATCCCTTCTGATGCAACCAAAGTGCGCCAACAGTGCCGCTTGGAATCCCATTCCGGTACATCCACCGATTCATGGCAACGCTCAATCTGGCATTGTTTCGGCCACCCTGGTGGTGGGGGCATGATTTCTTCTACACCTTCTGCAAATGCAGTCTTTCAAGCAACCAAATGGCTACAGAAAGCGAGCTGGCGTTTCGCTGGTACAAAGTGGAAACCTACAAAAACAGAACCAACCTTGCTACAATTTGGTCAAGCCGGAGTCTGGTATCCCAAGATAAGCCTCTGAAAACATAGAGCTGAAAGCTCTACAAAAACAATTTCCCAACCTGGGCTAACTATCAAAAATGAACTGGATACAAAAAGCTATGGCAATACCCTCGGGGACTAGGCACATTTAGGTATACAGAACAAGCCTTGTACTGGGGATATGCCCTACCTTTTCGTAGTGGAAATTTCAAGGAGGATATAAACAATATATCTGGTTGGTGGTATACCTACCCCTCTGAACAATGTGAAAGTCAATGGGAAGGATTATTCCCAATATATGGAAAAATAAAATTCATGTTCCAAACCACCAACCAGTTGTACTATTCAATTACCCTTCACCACTCGGTTTGGCTGGAAATTGGACCCTCTGGTCATGGTCATTTCACCCTCAATTCGATGTCAATCTTCGACAAATCCCATGAAACATCATCCTGAAATGGATCTACAGTTTTTACACCATGAAAATCATTGAACATCATCGATAACATGGATGCTACAGGGAATCTTGGTCTCATCCATAGAATTGATCTATCTAGAATCTATCCATCCATCTAGGATTTTCTCGGGAATTTTCCAGGCTATCCCGGGGTTTCCCGGATGACTCCTCGCAACCATCGCAACCGCCAGCATCGTCGCCTTCCTGGCTTCCACTGGCAACGTCAAAGTCGGCTTAGTGGCATCGGCCGAGGCCGAGGCAGCGTGCCTGGCCACGTTCTTTTTTAACGCGTCGCTGCTGAACTCGAAGAATGACGAAATTGGTTTGCACTTAAGGGGACTAATAGGGTAAATAAATATTGGTGAACATTGGTGAATATTGGGGACTAATGGTAAATAATGGTAAATATTTATTTGATACAGGTAATGGTGAATATTGGTGAATATTGGTGAATCTTGCTAGTCACAATAATAACTCCAATCAAGGTGAATGTTGGTGATTTTTTTTATTCAGCAGGTAATGGTGAATAGTGGTGAATATTGCTAGTAATGGCTCTCATATGCTTTCACTACCATCCTCAGTCTTCCAACCCCTTTTTTGGCAGGGTCTATGTGAGTCGGGAGATACACTGAGGAAATCTTAAATCTTTCGGGATATTGGGGATGGTTTACAAGTTGCCACCCAAAAGACCCATCTTTGTTGCGATAAACCCACTGAAAGCTCCAATAACCGGGACAGTTTATACTGCGTACGTACCCATTTCTTGTACGTACTTCCCATAGGATCCATGTATGGTATATAAGCTAACATTGGGGGTATATTGATGGTAAATGTTACCATATATAGCATACATGGATCCTATGGGATTTGTGATAGTGTTTGGTCTTGCTTTTTTTGCGATAGCCAGATTGACTGGAAAGGCAATGAGACTCTACCGGCTAAAATACAGAACAAATGTATACAAATGTGATGTGAAGCACAGACTGCTTGTTGAACGATGAATCACGAACATGGTGAAATCCACAAATGGATATGGATCAAGTCATTTGGTGTCAATGAGGTTGTGTCAGGTGTCTTCAAATGGGTTGTCTACATTCTACACATGACCAGTCCGTGGCCACACTACGTATGACGACCATGTGGCGACCTGGAATGGGGAGTTGACTAATTATCTAATTAGGCTGGCTACACATGTTGAGGAAATGGCCGGCAGCGACTATTGTCAACCGGGCGGAGAGATTTGTGTGACCAAGAGTGTGGATGCAGTCGGAAAATCGATGAACATGGAGTTTATGTATACATGAGTTTTGGAGAATGTGGAAAATAGGAAAACTTAAAGTTTTGGATACATATTACACACTGTCAAAGTCGGAAAATAGATGTCTCCGTTTTTTCCCAGGCAATCGAAGTGGGGAAACTGCTGATCACCCATCACACCGGCATTTCACGGGTCCCTGGGATGCACATCGTGCTACTGAGTTTCCGCAAGATGTACCTGGTAAACGTTTACAAAAATACGATGGAAAATCACCATGGATATGTTCATGGGTAAATCAACAAATTTTCTATGGCATATGGCCATTTTCAAGTTCGCAAACTCTTACATTACCAGGCCGGGTAGATCTGTAGCACTGTAGCACAAGGCAACTCCATCTTTCAGGGTTCCGAATCCAAGTACTTTTCCCAACATCGAGGGATCAGCGATGCCAACAAAAAAACAGGTCATTTCCCATATGTTTTCCTAAGATGTCCAATATTAGAAAAGATCTTTACCATATTTACTGCTTGGTGGTTTTTCGCCTACCCCTCTGAAAAATATTAACTATATAGTCAGTTGGGATTATGAAATTCCCAATTAATATGGCAAGTCATAAAATTCCATGGTTCCAAACCACCAACCAGTTTATGTGAAACTTATCATGTGGGGAAACTCAATGCCCCAACTGACTCCCTGGATCCAGTGGTTGATCATCATTTTCCCATTGCCATTTGGGTGGCCCCCGGACCCACCTCATGGCACTTACCGCCGCAGGGGAAGCGCCTACGTGGGACTACGTGATGTATTCGAAAGCTGGTTCGATCTTCGTACGTTTCCTTAAGTGCATATTACAATACATTACATAATCCATTACATAATCTCAACTGGATTGTTTGAGATACTTACACTCTTTAGCTTTCCAAAATGAAGACCCCTTTACTTGACTTGCTTTTTGGGGCGGCTCCAAATGCAGAAACATGCAGAAACAACTTCAGCATGGGCATGGCTCAAATATATAGGGTACATGAACTAACACAACTTGGTCCGAATACATCTTATTGCCACTTTATGCCACTTTGATGAAGACATGACAAGTTCAGGAAAAAAGTCCTTTGTTTTTCTACCATTTCTCAAAAATTATTGATTCAACAAGGCTGACATCGACGCCGCCGCGCCTCCCTTGGGCGATTTCAAAGATTCACCTGAAAGAAATTTCCACCAAGGAACCCGGGAACCCGGCCAACAAAAACCATGCTTACCGCACCCTGGCATGTTCACTTCATCTGGAAAAGCCATTGGTAAAACCCCAAGAAAATGATCGACTTGCAAATGGTGCGAGTACTTCATGCTTCCACATCTATGTAAACGTTGAAAAGGAGGCTTTTCAGTGGTTTTCCAGCCTTATCATTCCAGAGTTCCTGCAGATCCATGTTTTGGGGATACCCATGAGATAGCGGAAACCAACGACTCGCCGACTCGGTCCGTTTTGTGGGGATGGCTTCCCTTCGTTGTGGCGCCGAGGTCGCGATTGAATTCACCCAAATATCATAATTCCACATTAGTTGATGCTGAACATGATGCTGAACATCATCTTTTATATGTTTTATGCTACTTCAATCTCCCCTGATCAGTTTCCTTAAATCCCAGTCGTGTTTTCTGGTGAAATCTTGATGCATGAAATCTTGATGCAAATGGTTTTGTCTGCAATCTGGCTTTCCAACCCTAAAATACAACTGTTTATAATTTATTATCATTTCCCGATTTTTGAGTTGGTCAGTTTAGGGTATCACCCCAGTTGCAGGTCCACCCCTATGGTATCTATGGATTTTAAGCCATCCAATTCGGGGAATATCAATCCATCCGCAAGAGAATCCTAATCAGATCTAATCATATTCAATCCAGCCGCTTTTTTCTCCGTTTCTTGGGGTTGCTCCCAACACCCCAGTTATAAGAAAACGGGTAAACTGGATGAATAACGAGGTAAGAGCAGAAATTGTCCACCCTTGCATCATTAGTTGGAGCAACCCTGTTTGTTGCTGAATTCCCATGACATTGATCTGGGTAAATTGTAATATTTCACTGACCTGAATCTTGCGGCCATGAATGGGGATGATTTCCCTAAAATAAACCATGATTCCCAGTGAGGGAGCACAGGGTTCGGTCGCGATCAAATTTACCCAGATTGATGGTTAAACCGTGTCAAATCACACGAAAAAAATCACCATCTCTTTGCTTGTTTTGAACTACCCAGGCCTGGAGCTTGTGGGCAGGGCGATGTGGGCATCTGCAACTTGGGACTTTGAGGCACCACCGTGGCGCCAACTCTTTGCCTTAGCTTCAGCTTGGAGAATGGTGGCTTACCCTCTGCTAAACTGACATAGTCATGGAAAATCACCATATGTTTAATATGTAAATCAACGAACTTTTTATGGCCATTGAAACAGCAAACTCTTAGTTTACCAGATGGGATTGAAACCCATTGGAACCCAATGAATGGGGATATCAACGCTCCCGGGGTTTGGTGGATTTCATCATCTAATGGGATGTTCACCAACAGTGGGGGACATGATGAGATATACGTCACCGATATGATCTTTGGATGCGCCTGAAGATAGAGGCAGCGCTGCAAAGAAAATGAGGGTCCATCCCAAACTCTTGGTCTTTTCCGGCTAGGATCAACCGGAAGGCAAGATGTAACACTATATAATTGTTTTACCACATTTTTTTGGTATTGAACCATGACCAAAAAGGATCAAAAAGGAATATTATAAATGATTTTGCGTACCCAGATAGCCATGGATCTCCACCAGAGATGATGAAGCGCGGCATCTCTTGCGCGCCTGAGCTTCCTGCAATTGGATGTCCGCAATGCAGGAGCTCTCCCTCTGCACAAGAATAACCACGAAGAACAACTACAAGAAGCACAAAGCCTCATCTTTTCCTCTCAGGAAGTTTCACGCACTTGCCTCCTTTTCAGCTTTCCCCTGGAAAAAAACTTGTTGACCGCTGGCATTTTTCGGGATACACGTCCAATAGCCAATCGCCATTCCCTCAGTATCTGTCCTTAAAAAATGGACGTTTGCTGAGTCACTGAGTCTGGGATCAATCACACAATTTCATTCAGCCAAAATGATGAGAAAGGGATTGGGCCGATTGGGCCCTTTTTCCAACCGATTTCCTCAATACCACTAGTCAACGTGTGGGAAGAATCACCACTAAACAACTGCTATTTCAAGTGGTGTTCAAATCCCCAAAATTGAAACACATGCACTATTCATGATCTTGTTCTCCCCTGTCCAAAAAGGTCAAAAGGTCAGCTTCCAGTACTCAGTATAGGGACACCGCGTAATCATCTGAACGGTGCAAGAGTGTTTCGGATGTTCTTAGATGCTTGGGTCTTGCAAATTGTGATGCCTTTTACTATACCGCTTCTGTATAAATACTTTGAAATTTTAGACCATCCTGACTCCCCCACGGGAACTTAAACACAACTGCCTGCGGTTAAGGTCTTTATGGAGATCGCCGATGAACATTTCAGCTGAGTGACCATCGCCAGCAATACAACGCCTAGGGAGTGGTTTTGTTGGGAAAATATACGGGAAATCTTTGTTTTAACCCCAAATTTATACTGGGAATGTACAACTGGGGCAAACATCCCGTTACGGATGAATATCCAAGAATAGGCAGTTTCAGTTGGACGGATTTTGATCTGAAGTCATGATGGTCATGACATTGGAAATTGGCCAAAACAACGACGGTGAAGACGAAACCCAAAAGAAACCTGAGTGATGAGTGTTGAGGTACCCTCAGGTAATTTTTCACATAGCTACGTATGGAAAATCACCATTTTTAATAGGTAAACTATAAATGGGCCATTTTCCATAGCCAACTGTTAGTTTACCAGAGGGTATGTCTTCATGAGTCTCCCCGCATATATTCATTGTTCATAGGGGACGGTTCCAATCCTGACATGGCGATTCCAATCGGAATACCGTCTTCCAATCGTCTTACAAATCCAGGTTGTGAGTGAACTAAGAAAATTTGTTTGTCAAATATAAATAAGAAAAAAACACGATGAAACAGTCAACACACAGTCAAAAATCCAAACAATTCCTCGGAACATATTAAACAACACTTAAACGACTTCGTCTTTTGATGGGACATGGGCCCCAAGCAGCAGTACCATCAAACTTCGCCATCAAAAAATCATCCCTGATCATCCGCACACAACCAGCAAACATGAGGATCTAAAATGCGCATGCGCAAGACACATACACATTGTATGTGTATATATATATATATGTATGTATGTATGATGTGCTACCACACCATCCCCCTAATATTAAACACCACTCAAATGGCCCCGAATAAACGTAAATCCCCACTAAACCATGGTTTATGGGGGCTCTTTAATATTAGGGGCATGGGCGGGATAATATTACATATATCATGTATCATCATGCATTATTGATTATTATCACGCACACACATATATATATATAAATAAAAATGTACTATCATATTTTCATATATGATATATGATATATGATATATGACATATGATATATGATTATATATTACCAGGAGCTTCAAAGACCCAAAAAATTGTAGGTCCAGTGAAAAAAAACCTGGGTTTTTTCCGAGAAAACCGGGTTTTTGGTAAAGAGCCGTTGGATTTGCACAATTTTGTCCAAATCGGGTGGACCTGTATCAAATTTCTCCTCGTTACATGTAGCAATTTCATACTGACAACTTGTGAAATCTGTCAGACAGAACGCGCGATCGAAACCGAAGCAAGCGTTATCAGACACGAAGCGCGCTTTCTCCACCGGCTGCAGTTACCTCCTATGCTGCAAACTTTCCCTTCAGCGAAACTGGAGGCAGTCAAAAAGTCACAATGGATATGCATGGCATTTCAAAAGTCAGCTTTTCAGATATGAACCCAGTAAATTGACAATAGCTCCGGTAATCTGCGTTGCTTTCTTTTTGTCTGGATCGGGCAATTACCGGTTCGATCTTAAAACTCGACGGAGCCTCAAAACTCGACGTCGCGCCGTCAATTCGCAGAGGCAAAAAACTCATATTTTGTGTACGGGTTAGTATGGGTTAAATATGAGTTAAATATGGTTTAAATATGGGTTCCAAAAAAACGTGTTTTTTTTACTATATCAGAATATGGGTTTAGTACGGGTTAAATATACTTAAATATGGGTTTAGTATGGCTTAGTACGGCTTAAATATGGGTTTTAGGCCTTTTTTGGGTACAGACCCTAAAATTGTCATCCGAAATAATTAAAAACTGAAAATTCCGATTGATTTTTCATGATTTTGTATTTTTTTTCGATACTTTTGTTCGACTGTTTGTTGGACTTTGGCAATCCAGAATCATTCTTTTCCCAATGAAAAAATACAGCCATGTTTCAATTTATGCTTCTAGGGGTGGTTCTTGGGAAAAATCATCCAACGACTCCGGATTGACTGTGATCACACTTAATGTTGTCCGACATGTTCCAAAAGCATCGGGCCCTTTCTTGTGAGAACTGCAAGCCAAAGCCAGCGGGGTGGAAGTATAATCAACATGAAGGGTACTGAGAGGGATAGATCCAAGGCTGGTATCAATAAAGGGGTTTGAATCGTCTGATGCAACGAATCATGAGAAGTCATGACACCAAGTGTGAGAAAAAGTAGTTTTTTTCCCTAGTTAGTAAAGAAAAAACAACATATCTTCTGAGAAAAACCGTTTTTTTTTCACAACTGAAGAAAAACCGTTTTTTTGGAAAAAGGCCTACAAATTTGTGGGTTCTTGATGCGCTAGGTAGTATATATATATATATATATTATATTATATTATATTATATTATATTATATTATCAAATGTTATTTTTCCCCACCTGCCAGGTGAGGGTTGTTAGATTTTATGTCAGTTGCCTGGTCCTCCTCCTCCTCCTCCTGCTCCTCTCCTCTCCTCCTCCTCTCGTTGTCCTCCTCCTCTCGTTGTCCTCCTCGTCCTCCTGCTCAACTGCGACTCGCGATCCACAGTGTTCTCTGTCGGACCTCAACCACGACCATCCACGCCCAGTGTTCCCTGCCGGACCTCAACCACGACCATCCCCGCCCAGTGTTCCCTGCCGGACCTCAACCACGACCATCCACGCCCAGCGTTCCCTGCCGGACCTCAACCACGACCATCCACGCCCAGTGTTCCCTGCCGGACCTCAACCGCGAGTATCCACGCCAAGTGTTCCCTGCCGGACCTCAACCGCGAGTATCCACGCCAAAAGATATGCCACATAGAGTGCCAGAAGATATGCCAGATAGAATGTTAGAAGATGTGCCAGATAGAATGCCAGAAGGTATGCCAGATAGAATGCCAGATAGAATGTCAGATAGAATGCCAGAAGATATGCCAGATAAAGTGCCAGAATGTTTGCCAGATAGAATGCCAGCAGATTTGCCAGATAATATGCCAGAAGATATGCTAGATAGAATGCCAGATGGAATGCCAGAAGATTTGCCAGATAATATGCCAGATAGAATGCCAGATGGAATGCCAGAAGATATGCAAGAACATATGCCAGAAGATATGCCAGAAGATATGCCAGAACATCTGCCAGAAGATATGCCAGAACATCTGCCAGAAGATATGCCAGGTAGAATGCCAGAAGATATGCCAGATAGAATGCCAGATCGAATGCCAGAAAATATGTCAGATAGAATGCCAGAAGATTTGCCAGTAACAAAATGTATAAATGTCATGGTGGGGATCACACGAAGTAAAGTAATTTGTATTGTAAATGAGCTTTGGTGAGTGGTTATTATAGTTATAAATACCATTGGTTAATACCATAGTTATAAATACCATTATATTATTGTAAGTGTTATTATAGTTATACCATGGTTATACCACTTGGTTTCGTAGCCAGGCCGCTCCAGCCACTGCCGAGCACAACAAGGTGCAGACCACCACCACCTGCGCGCCATTTTCCGAGCACGGCGCTCGTAACCCGATCAACAGAAAAACATAGGGAGTCAACAAAGGAATATGTGACTTTAATGGTGGTTAATGGTGGTTAATGGTGGTTAATGGTGATTAATGGTGATTAACATGATGATTTAACATCTATGGTGATTCATATGTATCAATATATTGTTTTTGTTTTTTAACTGGTGATTTAACATAATTAACCCAACAGTTCAGCGGTTTTACCAACCGAGGATTTAAGCAGGATGCCTCTGTGATACAGCGAAACACCACCTGCATTTTACCAACAACAATTCAGGTTTTTCGCAAGAAAACGGCAGATAGAAAACAAAGCAACCTTGTGATTCTAACATATTCTAATCAACAGACATGGAGATGTCACTGGAAAAATGATAAAAATGGTCCCAGCACCAAGCAGAAGTTGCTATTCCCATTCGATAGTCCTGGCAGTTACCCTGCCTCTTTTTGGTAGTTTTAACATTTTTTAACCCATCTTAAAACTATGAGTCAATTGGGACCGATATTATCTTGCGCAGAGGCTTTGGACTATGAAAAACTTTCTTGAGATCACACATGATCACACACCAGCTATCTACAAGGAGGTGCCCCTTAGTTCTAAGTTTATGTATCCATCTAACTATAGATAGATCTACAATAAACCAGACTTAACCAGACAGCAACTTCGCTTTTCAGCGGGCACCGCTTTGTGCAACTTCGGACATCCCCACACAGTTGCCACCAAGTAGCTAAGACCGCTAGATTTGAGACATTTGGAGGTTGCTCAACTGCAGATTCGCTCCTAGGCATGGAGCAAAAACAATGGCATTGGCAGCAGCCACTTGTTTACTCGCTTTATTAGGATATTTCAGGATGCTGGGATCTCTTTACCCTTTAGCTTCTGCAAATCCTCCCTGTCTTCGGGCCTTTGATTGAGACATGTTGATCAAGCTTCCAATGTTTTCATGATTCTCCCTCAATTCTAGAGGACCCCTTTACTTTGGTCGAATCGCATCTTTGGCTCAACATTTCCATGGCCAGCAAAAGCTCCATTTCTGCTCCTTAAATGTTGATATTTCCCCAGGTGCTGAAAGAACGATGTTGTGCCAACTGGCCACAGACCTGAGTTTTTCTGCCTTCTCTGGCCCAAAAGAAACCACTCTTCAAAACCCAGCATCGGAGCTTGCGTCGTTTCTTCAGTCTCGGTTTCTACAGAACTCACCAGCACCTCGGCAATGGGTTTGAAACGGTTTTCAGTCCAACATTCCAACATGATTCAACATTTGCTATAATATATATATATATATAAATAAATATATAAATATTATACAACATATTTATATATATATATATATATAATATTCTCTTTGAAGCAATCGTACTGGTGGGATCTACCACTTTGGGCAAATCTATGTTCCGGCATTGAAAATTGGGCTTTTTTGAGCTACCCACCGGAGGTATGCCTTGACTTTTGGACGCTTTTAAAATCTTTTAAAAGGGATATAACATGCGATAATCATATGTATCACTGATAGTTCAATAGGCTACCTATCTTGGATGTCCTGGACATGGTCGCAATATGTCACAATAATATCTTTTGAGGAATGAATGTTCATCCCCCAGTTATACTAACAATGCTGTCAGTAGCTCACACGTTTCAGCTGTTTGCACAAAACCTGAAAGTGCTGTGGTCTTTTGCCCGAAGATTCCTCTGCTTCGAGGTTAGATGGATAATCCGAACCTTCTGTTGGCCCTCCCTGGCAGCCTCAGACACCTCCTGGGTCACATTGGCCGTTCATCGCGAGAAATATCCGAGGGACCAGATCAGATTACTTGGGAGGATGTACCTCCACGATCTTGCATCATTCTTGGATTGCGTCGGCGGTTTTTAGGCTTCCTTTTTTCATCACTTCTACAAACATGACCAAAAGCAGGAGTTCACTCAATTCATGTGAAAAAGAATCCCAAAGGCGATATTTAACTATATTTAACTCCTATAGGGGAACCTGTTTTGGACGCATAGTGTGACCCACACGAAAGATCCTGGACATTCCCACTGAATCCCAAAAAAAAAACCTAAACAAATTAAGTTGCAAATTATACAGAGGTTTCCCTTTCGTCATGGTATCCCCATTTAGCTGCTTCCCTTTCGCCTCGGCGCGGCTTCTTTTTTTTGGGCCCAGCTACACTGAAGTCCTCCAGAGGTAAGCCTTTCTCATCCCAGGTTTCCAAGAGCTCAGTGTGCAGCATCTCCTTGAACAAGTTCAGTTACCAGCGGTTACCATAGTTCTCCCATGGCTTAACAGCTTGCATGGAACATCAACATTTCTAATAGATAAATTAATATGTAAAAAAACAGGTAAATCCAAAATTGGACCATTTTCCATAGCTGTGAACTATGTGAAATTACTGGGTATAACGGATTTAATTTATAGATGGGTTAACCCACTTAGGGGACTTACTAATCAGCGTTATTAACCAGTTAGGATTCGCGAGGAGGTTCTCAAAGTATGCCAGTGGTGGCTGTAGCAATATACCCACCCAAATGGTGATGGCGGTTGATCACTCATGGCATCTAATTATGGACCATAACTCACTTCATGTTTTTTCGTTTTTTTCAACCAGAGAACTTAGAGAACTTGAAAAGTCTTCAATGTGAACTATGTTTGGGTTTACTATTTGGAGGAATGAGACCCGTTGAGGCTTCAGACGACCAACTCAAGAGGTGTCTAGTTGGGTCTAGTTTGGACCAGGATCGCCACCGTTTTGCCTAAACCGCCAGTTTAGACAAATGCATACAAATACAAAATACATCACTGTTTTTTTGGATGCTGGTGGATTCTTCTCTCACCACAGCTGTGATTTTGGTTCCTTTTCTGTAGCAGGGTTTCGAACGAGGCTGCAACATGTGGGTTTGTCTTAAGGGCACCCCCAAATCCCATCGTTGATTGTCATATTGGACAATTATCATCAGCATTCCAGGAACATATTCGAACATGATGATCAACATTGTCTGGTTGGTGGTTGAGCCTACCCCTCTGAAAAATATGAGTTCGTCAGTTGGGATCATGACATTCCCAATTAATATGGCAATATGGAAAGTCATAAAATTCCATGGTTCCAAACCACCAACCAGTATATCTCTAATACCATCTGGTTATTTAGCATAGCTGGCGGGAAAATCCATTCTAAATGGAGGTTTCTAGCTGGGAAAATCATCTGTAAATGGGCCATTTTCCATAGCATCATCATCCCATTGGCGTCCTTGCCCAGCTCTGAGGACAACATGGCAACACTTCCGGCCGAGCTTACCACTTCCACCTGCCAAAAAAAGCAACGCGAAAGCCGCGAAGTCCATCAGAAAAGCATGGAAAAATGGAGGGTTGAACGGTCCATGGGTTTTTACAATGGGCTAAGCATGGTTTGAACATGATTTGAACATGGTTTTGAAGCAGCCTAAAATGGGAACAAGACCTGGTGGAAATGGCCATCTTTGGCCATCTTAGGGATTTCACCAATTTTCAGGCTCTGAACATGACATTCATGCACTCATATAATAAAGCAAAAACACCCATTGCTTAATCATCATAGTCCCTTCTAGACTTCCACAGACTCAATTTCTGGGTAAAACAAACTGTAATGTGGTAAACCCATGTAAACCATTGTAAACCCAATAACAAACTCTCCAAGGTATCAACCAGCGATCCCCCAGCGACAGCGGGACAGCCCGCCCCCTCCTCCAATTTCAGGCGGACGCTCAACCGTCGTCGTGTCCGTGCGGTCTCATTCACCACCCTGACCTAGCGTAATGGGGGGTTGATCCCCATCCTATTAAAAAAAGGGTCAGATAAGCCCATTTTTTTATCAACCAATAGGGAAAATGAACACTGGTCAAATATCAATAGAGTCGTGTTAAAATAGAGAGACCTTTTTGGCATACGGTTTCATTATCTAAGAATGAAGATTGTTGAACCAAGTAGCGGGAAAAGAACATCCATGGCTCATACATTTTGATCACTGGGAAAGCGATGATGAACATTGATGAACTGATTTTTACAGTTCAACAGGGATTTTAATATTTCAGTACAGGCTTAACTTGGGGAACCAATCGGCCCACACAAAACGGGCAAGTGCTATTGAGCCCCCCAGGACCCAGGAAAGCTCCGACGAGTTTCTTCAAATGGGGGGATCCCCATTTGACCATGGGTGTCAATACTAAACGCCAATTGTTTTGGATGATTTGGGATACCCCTGATTTTAGGAATGTTACATATATTATCATATATTCTATTCTCTGACTCCCGCAAATTGGAAGTGTGCAAAGATCAGGAGAATTCAAAACAAAGATGGACAAACCATCATTGGGATGAGGAAAGGAGGTAGCATGAGCTTCTCAGAATTGAAATCCAGTCGCAGCGAGCGTTCAACCAACCTGGAAAAAAGCTGGTACAAATTGAATAGTATATAGAATATTATATAGTAACTAAGTGTATATATATATATACATATATATACATATATATATATATACATATATATACACATATATATACATATATATATATATACATATATATATACATATATATATATATACATATATATATATACATATATATATATATTATGTAAACAATTGAGACATGAATTCGCCAACCCCCCCTGCATGGCAGTTGAAATGGAACCATCACTTTACATACTGGTTGTTCAATGATGTTCAATGGATATGGCCCAAACATATTCAAGTGTCATCGCGATTGACCTTGGATATGCAAACAATTCATTACTTTGCCAGTACATTTCTGCTTGCCTTTTCAGCTACCTAAAGGAAACATTATGCTTTCAAACTAGAAGGGTTAGCAAAAGAAACGTTTGTGATAGTCACTGATGGTCGACTCAAAGACGTACCAAGAAGTGGGTCATAGTTCAAGAGGTCCCCCCGTGGCCAACAGCCCAGCCCTGTGCATGTGAACACGCAGAACATGAATAGCACAGAAGACAGTGGAGACAGTAATGTTGTAAACAAAATCATAGACCTAATTGGTGGTTTCAACCCCCCTGAAAAAATATTAGTCAGATTGGATCATCATCCCAACTATTGGGGAAAATAAAAAATGTTCCAAACCACCAACCAGAGACCTACTTAAGAGCCACCAACCAAAATTACACAAATAACCTTCCCCAAATGATGGATTCAGGCCTGGGAAATAACATATAACCTTAAACAAATCAAAGGTATTGAGCTGTGTTCAAAACCCTTGTTGGTTGATGATTATAGGGAACTACCCAATATATTGGGTATATTGGGTATTATATATCTGGGTAAATTATAATATTTCACTAACCTGAATAGTTCAGCTATTTAGGGATGATTTCCCTAAAATAAACCATGATTCCAGGGGTCGGGAGAACAGGGTTCGGTCGTGATAATTTACCCAGATATATAATATATTGTAAATAATTGAATAGGGGAATCCCCATTGACCAGCTGGGTTTCCTTAGATATTTCAAGTTGTTCACGACGATAGCGTCACCTGTACATCTGCAGGAGAAACTTGTAACATCTCTGCCACGGCCTGGCGCGGTGTCGTTGGATGTCTTGAGTTGATGGTAGTCCCTCGTGGTTTCATACGGAATGGGGCCATTGGCCAAAAAAACGTATCTGTCTGAAATGCTTGCTGTAGATGAATATTCTGAATATGGGGGTTTCCATAAATGGAGGATACCCAAAATGGATCGTTTACAATGGACAATCCATCTATAAATGGCTGATTCAGGGGGTACCCCAGTTTAGGAACCTCCATATTACTATGGGTCCTTGATTCCATAAGAGTGACCAATTTTGTTGCTCCGTTGGTGCCCAAAATTTCTACCAGACCACGAAGAGCGGAACATAGTTCTGACCGGCGACAAAGAAAACACATGGAATGTTTGATGTTTAGATGGATCTTGTTGTTTTGGTCAACGTGGTCTTATTGGGACTTTTATGGTCCGACTTAATTTCAATCCATATATATAGTATATAGTATGTCTGTTATTTTAGACTCCTCCATTGACGGCTGATAATGAAAGGATGTCCTCTCTACAAGTGGGCTAGGGCAGCTAGGGATGTGTGCCTTACAACCAGGCAAGTCGTGCAATCCTTCCCCCCAAAAAAACAATCAGAAGCTTCCCCAAATTTCCAAAGATCCCAATCATGCTGGTCTGAACGAAAATTACCTCGCAGCTTACCTCCAAAAGCCTCGAACAAGTTTTGTCAGAAGGCCATGGTCTGATGATTCTCCTTGCAAACCATCATTTATGGCGACATATCTGATCAAAATAACTTCTATCGGCGGTCATTAAAACCAACCAAGTAACATCAATAATAAATTCCTGGTTTTATTATGATTTATTCATGATACCAGTACTTGCCATTTTCCAACATGATGAAATATCTTAAATGATCTGAATGACATCGAAAAAACGGTGTGTTTCAACTCCCCCGTCCCTTCAGCCCGTTTCAGATTTTCTTTGCAGTTCGCCCCATGCGGCAGTTTGCCCCACGGAAAATCGCGAGGCCGCTCGGGACTGGATGGCAAAAGTTGCATATGCTGAGATCACGGATATAGATACACCACAAAAACCCTAGGGCCCTAGGGTAGACGTGGAAAGAAAACCAATAGGTAATTCATCCATAAATGGGTCATTTTCCCACGTCTACGTTAGTTTATGCGTTTGGGGCGTTTCCTTCCACTGAAAAAAAGAAGCACCCAGAAAACATGGTGGATGTAGGGGCTGAACTTCACTGAAAGCACCATCTTTGGGACCATACGATAGGGCGTTTGATATGGGGGATGGGGTGTTGAAACACGGAAAGGGGATGCCAATGGGCGCTGTGTTTGTAACCTTTGTCGGGTCGATTCCAAAGTGTGAGATTTTTTCATACTGACAAATTCACTTGCGCACTTGCGAGATCGTTCTGTTTGGTTTGTAGATGCTTGTTTTCCACTCCTCACTTTTTGTCAACAGAAACACCCATCTCAGCTTCACTGATCATACCCCGAAGCTCTCCAACAGAGTGGCACATGACAAAATCGTCTACCCATCAAAAAAAAGTAGCACCACTTAAAACAAGTGACCGGAAACTTGGGGAGTGGCATCATCGCATTTCCCACTATTGGCCAAGGCTCCCTAAAAAACCAGGACCATTTATTGCGATATCGCAGCCTTGATGGGGAATCCACCTCTACAGGGAAAATTCATTCACTGGTTCTGGTTCCATGTTCGGCAACCTCCGATTTGAATCTTTCCTTTCTATGCTAAGATGTGTTAAGGCATTTATTCAGTATCAAATGTTATCATTTGGGGGTTTCCTAAAATGGGGGTACCCCGAGTTATCATCCATTTATATCGTTTATAGATGGATTTTCCATGAAATAAACCATCCAGCTATTGGAGTACCCCCTCCATTTATGGAAACCACCATATCTCTAAGTGTTTTTTCGTTTTAAGATTGAACCTTTAGTTTCCACTGAACCTGAAAACAATTTCTCATGTCGCCACCTCCAAGTCCTGTGGACCCAAGACTTTGACCCACAGGTTGCATTGTTCATGGTGCTGAGACGAAACATATACTATCAATGACTAAGATGATTGAACTCATTCTATATGTCCTGTTGAAACCTATAAGATTGAAACCATGGTATCAATAGTTGATAATTGGTAGACGCTTGAAACCTTTCTATGTGACTTGGATATACCCTTATCCACCATTCATTGTGGAATTGAAACATATTGAAACCATTTTAGGATCCTTCCATGAAATCATTCAGCATTCTACAGTACATCTTAGTGGAATTCTTCCTGCTGGAACTGACAAATAATCATGGGGGGTAAATATTACCCTCAAAGACACGTGACTCATTTTACCCTCCATAATATTGATAAACCATTTTGGTTTTATGGGTAATGTAGAACACAATGAATTAAAATCAACACTGTACATGGGATTCTGCGGCTAAGACTCTATTGGGGCATATTGGGGCACTAATGGACTCACACCCCATTTCTTGGGGTCACGCGAGCCATACCCAGCACCCAGTGCGCACAGGTAGTCCCCGATGCGCTGCAGCTCTTCGCCAGGTGAAAATTCGCAAAAACTTAGGACCAAAACGCCGCTGCTGCAGTCTGGTGACGTTTTACGTGTTTCTAGGGTTTCCTACATCAGACTTCGTCCTTCAAACCTTCCCATTTTGACCCTAGTGGACACCAAAGGCTTGTAGATTTTGTTGGTCGTTCATCCCAGTTAGTCCAGCTAGAACTGGGGTTATCATCCACTTACTACCTGAATTATTGCAAGCTACATCAAACTACAATAGATGGACAACATATCCACACCCTACAACACACGTTATGTTGAACCCCTGCACCCCCAAATCTCACTGTTTCAGCCCGCGTGTTAACAAAACTGATGTTAGGCGTTTGATTTCTTCCTTGAACTTTGGGGGCGAATGACCTTCTTCCAAGCTGTGCAAAACACTACCTTTTCACAAGTAAATGCCTCCTGTCTGTCTCCCGCCCCACTTTTTTCTTGTCCCTAGTTCGCAACTTATTCCAAACTGCACAAAACATTTGTGTTTTCACAGGTAAGTGCAGCATTTGTGTTTCCCCTCTCATTTTTTCCTATTCCCTTATTCGCAACTTTTCCCAAACTGCACAAAACATTGTGTTTTCATAGGCCGTGCAGCCTTTGTGCTTCCCGTCCCATTTTTTCTATTCCCTAGTTTGCAACTTATACAAAAATGCACAAAAACATTGTGTTTTCACAGGTAAATCCTGCATGTGTCTCTGGTCCCTTCTTGTTCTATTCCCTAATTCGCGACTAATTCGTTTGACGTGGCCCTGCCAATGGATTTTGCAATTTGCGATGTGCAAGGTTTTTAGAAAAGGACAAACATGGTTCAGAACAGTCTCATGCCGTGCAAGCTGCAAATCAATTGGCACGGCCACGCCAAACGAATTAGTCGCAAATTAGGGAATAAGACAAAATGGGACCAGAGACCCATGCAGCATTTTCCTGTGAAAACACAATATTTTGTGCATTTTGGAATAAGTCGTGAATTAGGGAATAGAAAAAAAAGGGACCAGAGACACATACAGCATTTACGCGTGAAAACAATGTTTTGTGCAGTTTGGAATAAGTTGCAAATAAGGGAATAGGAAAAAATGCGACGGGAAGCACAAGTTGCACTTACCTGTCAAAACACAAGGTTTTGCGCAGGTTGGAATAAGTTGCGAATTAGGGAAAAATTGGAGGTAATGTTTTGGACAGCTTGGAATAAGGTCAGCAGCATGCAGAGTGATGTTTTCACAACAGAGTTTGGATACCAAAAGACGTGAAAACGTCAGAGAGCGAGACAATAGGACCAGTGGATAAGACATTGGCAAGTAGTAAAGCGGAAAAACCCAAATAGCTGGTAAGTGGGGTTCATTCCCGAAAAATATTGCAGAGTAGCGTTTGATCCATCCCTTGTAGTTGTTAGTGGCAAAGTGATGTAGTATGAAATCAAGTTATGATGGACTGAGATCCTTCTGTGCCAGACATGCAGACAACAAACCAGATCTCTCCAATGTGGTTTTGAACCTGAAAGGTCTTGGGCATCCGGAAAAAGACAGGTATACATTTGATCTAATTGATGGAAGGAACTTTGGTTACATGTGGGAAAATGCCAAACGCCATCAAACACAAGATTTTTCCAATGCCCAACGTTTCAGAAATGCCACTCTCAGACTGGTTTGACCATCGGAGAGGAAACGGCGCGGAAGTGGTTTCCTGCACAGACAGTGCCAATGTGATTCCGTACGGTACCCACAAACGCCTGGCTTAGCCTGGCATCCGATTGGCTATGCCATTATCCTTGGCTGACCAATCTTGGATACCCTGCACAAAATCTCAAACTTTTCGCTTGCTACAGTGTAGATAGATAGATAGATAGATAGATATATATATGTGGGGATTTCCATAAAAGTGGGATCCCAAAATGGTTGGTTTATAATGGAAAATCATATTCAAATGGATGATTGAAGGGTGCTACCATCTCAGGAATTTCAAGAATTAGGAAACCTCGTTCACCATTTAAGGCCGCAAAGTTCACCATTTAAGGCCGCAAAGGCATTAAAGCAACGAATGTTTCCCGAGCTAAAACCGACCCAAAAGTCTTGTTTTCTTACCCCACAGAAGAATTTTACAGGAGACAGAAACAACAAAAACATGGTGGAAGACATGCAAAATATATCACGGTGACCGAAACTTGTGGGACTCCCGAATGCAATGATTCATCACTGCTCCACCCAGATTTATATTCAAGACACATTTTTCCAGAAAGAAACCAAACAGATTCAAAACAGAGCCCCCTTGCTCCCCTTGCTTGATACCATTTTGCAGGTGCAATGTTCGCTGCCGAGCATTGCAAAACCAAGAAACCGTCTCCCAAATACAAAAAATGATAGTTTGCAGCATAGACTCTGGCATTGCCAGCCCATACAAAAGGTACTCCCAACCCCACCGCCAGATTGGCAGTGCATACCCAAAAGCATCTGTTTCTTGTTGCAAAGGCATCACACCGGAAAGTTAAACACATTACCCTGCAGAACAACTGCAACCATACCAACAAGCAAAAGGGGCGTGGGAACATGTGGGAACAACAACTTGTTGAAGGGGAGGGGCTCGTCTCCAGGTAATGCAGCGAACCCTAGTAATGTGCAAATTCAGACTGCAAATCAATGGTAGCAACCATCGTTTCCTGTAGATTTTCCCTTCCGCAAATTCATTGACATTCAGGCAAATACCATCTTTTCCACTAAAACATCCATTAACTTTGGGTTTCTCCATATTTTCTAATGCTTTCCTACGATTTTCCAATATTTCCTCTAAGATTTCCCAGCCATTGCCAGCCATGACCGTTTCGTGGCCTGCTGTACGCCGCTACACCGCGCCGGCTTTCGGCGTCTCTGCGGTATCCATCTTTCTCCAGCCGCCTTGGCAAGGTGAAGAGTGGAGGGAGTTAGCTGAATCAAAATTGGGTGTAATAATCATTAAAAAAACTATGGTATTACAATGGATTATGGTTATTAGAATTATTGGATAACAATGGTTAATAGCCATTAAAATAACCATTCTAAATAATGATGGTTTATTGGGTATTAGGACGGGCTCTTGGCTCTAAATATTAAAATTATTGATTTAATACGGATATTCTAATAATCACTTCAATGGATGAACTAGGGCTTATTGGGTATCAAAATAATTCTACAACATCTTTGGGACAATCTATAGATCATATACCGATATATAATTACTATTACGAGATACTAGATTAACAATGAACAGTAGATTAACTACACGATGAGGTCCTCCAGGTGTAAGTTGGTTTACAACCACATATCCCGCATAAACCCAGAGTTCACCAAATTGTGTGCGTCAACTTAGCTATCTAAGGGACCTCACCTTTTATTTTATGTATATGTACATGTATATAATCGTATTTTTACACATATGTATATGTATTATATACTGTGTATATTCTCTGTATCTTCAAATATGTACATATATATATATATGTGTAAAAGTATATGCCTGATATATTGCATGTGCATGTATATGTACAGAATGTGGCCGCACATGTATATGATCTCTGTATTTGTATACATTGTTTGGATTCCACACAATTGTTTGGCAACTTTTGATTTATCTCGTGGCCATTGTTTGACCAATGGTTTTGTAGGCACCAACCGCTTTGGAGTGCTTCAATGCCGGAATCTGAAAGCCATCAATGTGGTACTCAGGGGTAATTTGAAGGTTTGCGAGCTGGAAAATGATCCCAGAATGTCGATTTTCAACAGCAACCTTTTGAATTTCCAGAGTGTAAACCCAATGGGTGGCAGAACCCACCGCCCAACTGGAGGCTTGCACTGGGTGAAGCTGCAGGTTTGAAGAACGTGTGCCTCTGCATACCTTATATATCCTTATATCATATCATATATCTCTCAATACACGGAGATCTGGGACGGCATTTGTTTTCGTTGTCTATTGTTTCCGCAAGAGGCCCCCAAACAATTGCAGGTGGAAATCTTAGAAATCACTTAGCAACAATGAAAATTCAACAAATGGGACTTGAAGGATGAGACTTGTGGTTAAAATGAGACAAAAACAGAGATCAACAATTACTGTCTATACCAATGTGTAATATATGTATATGTGTGTGTAAATGTTTATTGTACATATAATCAAAGTCAGTGTGTATATGTAAATGCAGGTGTATATATGTGCATATAGAAAACAAACTCATATTAATCTAAATACACACACACATATATATATCAAACCTACAGTAGATAGCAAAACACTTGGGCTTACAATGCGCCCAAGACACTTGGTTCTGTGCCAAATACATGGTAACAAACTAACAATGAACCCCCCAAATTGCTATTGTAACGGAACATTTCATAACAAAATTGCCATTGATATTACCCATTCCACTTGGCACATTTTGAGATGGCCGTCACCAAAGTCGAATCCCCATCTGGATATGCAACCCATGGCTTTCCAGTTATGTAGTTGTAACATATAGGAAATGCCAGGTGTGCATATTACATATGCCTATAAAAATATATATAATTATATACATATACACGTATGTCTTGTTTTTTTTTATGACGGCGAAGAAAATGCACAGGTCATTGTCACCCATACAACATGTCTATAGAGTTTGCTTGTAGAGATTATTTTCCAATCACCAAGGTGGATGCATATCCTATACCTCCCAGCTCCCAGCAACCAAACAAAGTGACAACACCTGTCCCAGAGGATGTGGGTCAAAAGGCAAGTCAACCCACCTCACAGCGACGATTCACCCAATGTGTGGGGATACAGCTCTTGATGGCACCCGCCCCTCCAACAATAAGGGTTATAACAGTTTAGTAACCACCTAATAAGGGTTGATGATGGGTAATCACCCGCCGAACCACAAGGATATAACCAATGCACTGCATTAATTGTTTCATAACTCACCAAACTGACAACTTCGGCAACTTCCACTGACGTCGCTGTAAAGTCGTTATTAAAATACCATTCACGCAAGATAGAAGACTGGGTAGTTAAAAGTCAGCAATAATGTGGTACAGTCCATACACTGCCGCCGGAAAGAAAATTTTAGTAGCACCCAACAAGAATGCAGACGATACAGTGGTAAATTCATGTTCCATCCTTTTGGGGGGTTACGCAAGGCTGCAATGGAGGCGGGCTGATGTGGGGTTGTGGAGAAAGGAAGGATTTACTCCGAAGTGCAAGCCATGTTAAATGGGGAAAATGAGGTTCCAAACCGCACCGGGTTTTGGGATGCCATGTTTCAACCAAAGGAAACCCACGGGGGAGATCACCTTTTGTCAATTTATGCTGATATCAGTTACAAAAAGAATTTTCGTCCTGACTGATCACCGAACTACTTTACTTCGAGTGATCCCCACCAACGGCTACATATTCCGGCATTTTATCTGAAATATCAAAATTCTATAAAATTCTGACATTCTATCTGACATGTATTTTGGCACTTACGTCGCATATCGTGGCATTAACATCTTTCCATTTTTCTGCCATCCTCTTATCTAGCATTCTACCTAACGTATGAGCAATCGGCCAAACCTGAACGTATCGGCAACGCGGCGTTCGGCCAGGGTTATCTTTTTGGGAATGCACTTTATCTGTTTGCAATAAATCCTAACCAATTGCTAACTGCGAAGCCACTTGGCAAAATGGGTGCGGCAAGACTTTAAGATCTCCACTTTACCACCTGCAGCTTCTTTCACTGCCATGCGCTTTCTCCCGCAGAGCCCGAACGCTTCGGCCAGCCTTTCCTCATCTCAAGCACACAGATTATCAAACTGCGGCTGTCCATGAAATTGGCCCATGTGCGTTCTGCATTTTCTGATGATCTATACAATTGACTTGGCGGGTTGCATGGGTGGTTGGCGCCATGTGGACGGTTCTTTATTCATGGCGCTATTCTTTCTCTTCCGGGGGCAAATCTTGGACTCTGAAGTGGCCCGTTGCTTCACTGTACTGTTGCCTTGCAGGGATAGGAGTGAACGGGAAGATGTTGGGAAAAAACAGGAACAACCAAGACTTTTGTGCATTTTGGTTGTGTTTGGCAATGAAATGTGATAACTAATTGATCTGGGATGCTGAAAACACAGTTGGAATTTCACAAGAGATCGAGTCAGGTTTGTGGGCCCTGGTTCGCAAGAATATAGCTGCGAGCGATTGTAAGCGATCAAACATAGGGTGCATGCGATGTGTGAGGCTTGGCAGGCTGTTAGATTTTGATGGTAAACGATTAACTCGGTGCCATCTTGGCTTTGCTTGTCCCCTCTCTTTGTGCGCGCCCTTGAAAACTTTCACCGCTTCAAGCTCCCCATCGCAGAAGGCCTCTGGGTTGAGCAGAAACTCGGACAGCCACCCACATATCGGCGCAAATACTTCCGAATCTGCATTACACATGGATTTCGCATGTTTCTCACCACAAAAGGCAATATTATTGCATGCTCTCGTAACTCCGAAGATGCCTGTGTTAAAACCCAGGTGCAACAGCCCTCAGTGAGTCAATGCCACTCACATGCCTGCATGAGGCATTCTAAGACATAGATCCAAACAAAGATCAAAGCCCAGTGATCTCGGAAACAGGAATCACAGCAGTCACAGCGAGGTCACCTCGGGCCTTGCATTCCATGCCGTATGCAGTGGAGACGGACCATTCTGTCCTTTGACTCCGACGGAGCTGGTCAGTGGAGAACCTGAGATGGGTATGGGCAGCTTCTCCGTGAAATCAGTGAACATAGGCCTAATTGCGCTCCAGCTTGTTCACTAGTTCTCTCACGGTTGACTGATCCATTTTTGCAGCAGCCATGTGAAAGTCCCAGCATACCTTCACACATGCAGCAACTCCCATGTCATGGTTTTTGGTGGGTTATGGTGGGTTCAATACATCGTTTTACATGTCAAGAGGCATGCTTTTGCATCAAACATCTCTCTGTTCGATGGAGAGTTCAATCTCTGTCTCATATACTTTTGTTTAGCAGGCATTTTTCTGGCACTCCATCTGACATTCTATCTTTTTTCTATTTTGACATTTGATCAGACATATATGCTGCGATCTCATCTGACGCATATTCTGACATATGACATTCTGTCTGGCATGTATTCTGACAGTTTATCAGACATTCTATCAGGCATGTATTCTGACACTTTTATCTGGCATTCAACCTGACATGTATTTTTAACACTTTATCTTGCATAGTGCTCGGGCCCGGCGAGGCCCCAAAGAGCCTGCTAGCTCATGATAGTTCAAACTCTACCTTCCCTATTCCCAATAGCTGACCCTACTTGTGCCATTTTTGGGTGTAACAACTGCAGGAACTGTCGACATCCGAGAACAACAAAGTGGATATCACTCAGGCAGATGCATTTTCTCTTCCCTTTCCAGACCATCTAAGACGGGAATGTCGGTTTCAATCATTTTGACCGTAATGTTGTCTAGACAATAGTGATATCTTGTCAATAGTAGAAACATTTTTCCGCAACTCCAATTTTTCTCCAATACTAAAAGTCAATTAGCTCCATTTACTTTTAGTATTGCCAAAAGAGTCATGTTCAGACCTTGTCCAGAGGGCATGGCCAATAGTGGACTCAACATGGCAATAGTCTTAGTGGAAACTGTTTTCCCAACTCCAATTGTTTCTCCAATACTAAAAGTCAATTAGTTCCATTTACTTTTAGTATTGCCAAAAGAGTGAAGTAAAGCAAATCCTTTTCAAAGCAGCCTTCACTTTTGATTAGCAAAAGCTTAGATTCCAGAAATCTGATCCAACTACCAAACAGCTGATTTCCTTATAAAACCCTGATTAAAAAAAGCAAGAAAACAGGTCCACAAAGGGTACCCCCTTTGCAAGCCCCAGAATAGCAATAACAAACCTGCACCAGGCATGGCAATAGTGGAAACTTTTTTCCGCAACTCCAATTTTGTTGTCCTCCTTCTCCTTCGCCTTCTCCTTCTCCTTCGCCTTCTCCTTCTCCTTCTTCTCCTTCTTCTCCATCTCCTCGTCCTCCTCCTTCGCCTCCACCACCTCTGCCCCCACTTCCATGTCCACTTCCACTATAAGGTTCCAAAATTTTACTATTGGAATGCTGACCCCCCGCCCTAATTTTTTTTTAAAAATATTTTATTTAGGGGGGCGGGGGGGATTTACTATTAGGCAGCCTACATTAATTCATATCCTTATGTTTTGCCAGCAATATCGCCACTTTGGCCTGTAAGACCAGGCAGCCCATGTGGCCGGATCCAATCGCGACCGTTGGCGGGGGTCGAAGCGGTGCCACCTCAGGGGCAGGCGGGCGCTCGGCCACCACAATTGCCGACGGTGCCGCTTCAGGAAGAGGTGGACGCTCACCACAACTGCCGGCGGTGGTACGTGGTTCAGAAACTTTCTTCTCACCCGCCTCAGATGAAATGAAAGGTTGAAGGGTGAAGTTGGTGGAGTCTTTTCGTATCTTTACAGCAACACCCTATGGCGAAAAATTGCCAAGAAGAGAAAAACTCCTCACTGTACCCGTTCTAGAAGCAATTGTTGCCTTGGACCAATGGCATGAGAACCGTTTCCACAGACTGAGAATGATTCCGCATCCTAATGTGGTGAAATGATGCCTGCAGTGAGAACGATTCCTGACCCCGATGTGATGAGAACGATCTGACCCATGTGATAAGAAAGATTCCAGAAATAATTCCTCCGTCCTGAAGCCAGTTCCTGAACCTATTGATCAATCGTAGGGTGAAGAACCCCTTTGATAGGTTCCGATTCATCCGAATTCAATGACTCGACTTGTGCAAGAAAATGCCTGCAAGGCACCATGTTTCATCCAACTGAAGTCGCAGGAGCATCACAATCACCGTTTTTCTTGTTTGGTTAAATTTGCAGTTTTGCGTAAATTTCAGGATCTGGAGTAGGATCATTTTCAAGCATGCGAATGTCAGAATAGAACGGGCAGAGCCTTCTTGCTGTAGCGGAGCAGTGCAGAGGAGGCGCAAAGGAGGCGCAGAGGAGCGGAAGAAGAGGAGCAAAGGAGCGAGGAGCAAAACTGTGTCCCAATGCGGGCCTATTGGTGCCGAATTTTGGACCCATGGACCCCATACCCCAAGAAAAAGCGAACCAGACTTACAAACATCCATGGCGACTTAGCACAGAACACTGAGACTGCGAGAATTGTCATATCGGCCTTATGTTCCGTTCCCCAATCTTGCTGTACCTTCTGGCAATCAAATATGGCCAAAGAAATCGAGGTTTTAGTTTTAATGGAAAAGCATCGTTTGATCACCAGATAGTGTTTTCACGACTTTTTGGATATAAGCCAAGCGGGTCAAGCGGTGTAGTTAGAAGATTCTACATTGGGAAGCCAAGCCAAATGGGCCTGTCTCAACAAATGGTGGATACCCACCAACATGGCAATTTTTGAGACGCACCCATGTCCCATTTACCCTTTGCTACAAGTTCGGGAGGGGTCAAAATCTCTTATTTTTTCCACCTGTGAATACCTTTTAAGTTTTCTTTTGGGGGGTTCCCAACAAGATCCGGAAACCCCAAAATCCCGGGATTTATGGTGGCTCATCCCAGTAAGTGGATTATAACCCCAGTAACCAACCAAGTACATGATGCTTCCCCCATTATTTCCAGCTTTCCCGCGGATGCAGCCTGAGAAGGTGCCCCAGATCGTGTCCAACACCGGCGTCCACCAATTCAATCTGAGACGGGCCCGGGTGATGTCTGGGACTGGTAAAAGGACGGGGCTGTAACTATGATTTAGTGTGTCATATATCCAACTGAGAACTGGAACTGCACCCGCAAGTTACTTGAAGTAGGTTTTTAAAGAGCCTCTGGGATGCGAACCAACATTGCTTCAGTGGTAAACGGAACAAGCTTCCTTTACCCACTTTATGCACCCTACACATGTCCTAGTCTCAGAAATCCATGCTACCCATTGCTACCCAAAATCTTTGGCTCGTTTCTCCGATTTTTCTCGTTTTGTTCGGGGATACCCCAAATCTCATGGTTATGATTGCTTTCCAACAAAAAGTGCAATGCAGGGATATCCATTATTATATGTATATTTGGACAAACTGCCATATGTGCCGACATGACTGGATAATTTGGTGGGGTCATGTTTCTAATTAAATCTGCCGATTGTCTACCCGCCGCTACAAACCCAGAAACTGTCGGTAGGTTTCAAAGAACACCAGAGAAGTGCCCTGGAAGCAAGCGAAAATACCTGGGCTTCGGCTGGTGTTTCTAAATGTTCATCCTCAGTGCATGACAAGGTTTGAAACATCACCAAATAGGACGATTTCCGGAAACAAAGACATTATTATAATCTAATCTAATCTAATCTAATAATAATAGCAATAATGATAATAACAATAAGAATGATAATGATAATTAATAATAATGATACTATATTATGTATGTATATATATATATGGCAGTTTTTCTGGGGACAAGGATATCGAAATAAGACTGGTTCTTCGGACGCTATTTTTGGAAGGGTTTTGAACATTGTCGGGAAACAAGTTTGCACAAAGTTTGATTGACATGGACATTACAAAATAAATCAAAATAATACAAAATAGATAAAGGTTTTGGACCATGTTATTTGGCTGGAAAGGGTTTCAGTCACCTAGAATGAGACTTGCCTGATACAGTTTCTGTTTCTATACGGATACAGTACCTATATTTGCGATGCTGTCGAACAATGGAAAAGTCATCAAATGTTGCCGTCATATATACAAGCTTTTCGAGCGATCCATTGTCAAGTCATGAAACTGCAGGGACCTATCTTCTGTCTACCAAAACATGATTGAGCATTAAGCCGGCCCGAGTTGACGACCATAGGTCCTTAATTTCCGGCTTGAGAGTATCTTGAAAATGATAGCACTCCAATCCCGTTCGATGGCTTTGGGCAGCTGGTAAATTGGATGTTCGATGTCCATTCTCCCAACAATGGGAATTGAACATGCATACCCTCTGGTAAACTAACATAGCTATTGAAAATTGTGATTTATAGTTGATTCACCCATTAAAAATGTTGATTTTCCATAGGTTTTTTTATGTTTACCAGAGGGTAGATGTCATTGGATTCTACAGTCCCGGTCCAAATGGTATCAGCACCGCACCCAAAAGCATCCCCAACTCATCGTTTTTCGGCAGGCCCATTTTTGCAGACAAAGATGCAAAAGTTGATGTAGGCACCGTAGATAGCCGAATCCCACCTTCAAAGTACTGAACACAGAAATTGGGATTTCATCCCAAATGACTTTGGGAACACAAAATGACAGTAAAAGGTCTAAACTGCTCGTACAATGCTTTCTTGGGCATCCCTGGGCTGTTTGGAGGGGTACCATTTTAGTAGCATATGAATACGATTTGGGGAGGTATCACCTAATTGATGCTTATCAATCTGTGGTCACTACATTACTTGGAGTTGTGAGTGTCCAATACGATTGGGGATGAAAGGCTAGCACCGGCTGCCCAGGAAAAAACACACACACATATATATACATTCATTATAAATGTACATACATATGAATGTACTTGTCATGTTATATATATATTATATTATATTATATGGTATACTATATATATATGTATATATATATGGCTCACTATCCTTTACCAGTTCTGTATTTGTTACGATGCAAATTGGGGGAGCCACACACTCCTCGCACTACATGACTCTGCTGATTGGCAAAGAGGATAGTGCTCATATAAAATAGAACGATTTGGAGGTTTCCTAAAATAGCGGCACTCCCAAATCATTCATTTTAAAAATATTTCCATTATAAACCATCCATTTTTGGGTACCCCCATTTCAGGAACCCCCCATATAAAAAATGAACCATTTCTGAAAAGGTTCTCCAAAAATCATGGGACACCGAAGCGAATCTTCCCTTGCTGCATACGGTTCTCCTTGATGCACCACTTTCAGGCTTTCAGTCATTGAATAACCATCATTACTGTACGATCTCTTCGAGGAAAAAAAACAAGTTGATAAGTTCTATATTGGATAATTACAGAATCCCAAACAATTAAAAGCAAGCACAAGTGCTTCAAAATGACCCACTACTGTATCAACTATCAAGCAAAAACAAACGAAACTCCAAAACACGATCCAAAACTGGTTTTACAGCTTGGCGATTTAAATGGACAATTGCCCGTCTATACATGATAATTATGATGGTTTACCGAACTTCAAAACGGTGATGTTCCAGTTCGCAAACCATTCAAATACGAGTACCAGAGGGTAACAACAAACATCCCTTCCCCCACAACATGGTCAATCTTTGGAAGTCCACAAAAAAAAGTCATTGTTTGCATTATTTTGGCGAATTTCCATTGATCTGGGTAAATTAGTAAATTATAATATTTCACGTCACTAACCTGAATTAAGGCCATTTGGGGATGATTCCCCTTATTAACCATGATTTCCAGCGAGGTCGCAATGAGGTCGTTATAATAGATTGATATATAGCAAACAACTGCAGGATTAAACTACCTATCCAGTTGGGGATGTTATGTTCCCATTCTGTCCCAATGATATTCTCAATATTTCTCAGTTAATGTTGCGTCCTGATTAGTGTAAGGCCCCCCGCCTCAACAATAGCTATACCCTCTTCAAGCTTGGGCGCCAAAAATTTTCTTCCCAGGAAAAACAAATACACTAAGATAAGGATTTCAATTGGCCACAATTGAAATCCAATTACAACCTTTTTTTTGCCGATGAACTTGTCGTACTTGTAGTACTTGTAGTGAGTGGGGTTCAGAATGTTGATTGCGTTACCTTTTCCACCTTTTTTTCTTGATGAACCATGCAATAAGAGAAAGAGAAAGAGAAAGAGAAAGAAAAGAGAAAGGGAACGAGAGAAAGCGCAAGAGAGAGAGAGAGGAAGAGGAAGAAGAAGAGGAAGAGGAAGAGAAAGAGGAAGGGGAAGAGGAAGATGAAGAGAAAGAGAAAGGATAAGAGAAAGAGAAAAAGAAAGACAAAGGAAAAGAGAAAGGGAAAGGGAAAGAGAAAGAACAGGTTGCTTTTGTACAAGGCTCTTCTTTCTTCTCTTGGCTCCAGGATCAGCTCTGGAAAAGTTTGCTGCAATTGTGAACCCTGAGAACAAACCTACTAAAGTGAGTTGGACCCTCTCATGGCCCAGTGCCTTGGAAATTTGCGGAAAAGCTGTTCTTCAATAAGGGTTTAATAAGGGGTCTGATTCTTTTGGGACAGGGAGAAAAGCAATATTTTTTCAGAAAAAATGTTCAGATTTTTTTACACCAACATTTTTTTGGACAAACAAATAGTTCCCCCAAGATTTCTTGCCACAATAGCAAACCTGCCAAACAATGCATAGGTTTAGAATAATTTGGAAAAATGGCACAATAGCGAACCTAGCCAGTAATCAGGATGCAACACAAAAAAATTGCTCAACTATATTCTCCCAGTTATAATATATATATATATTAACATTAATATTAGTATTATCATTATTATCATTACACAGTATATCATTAATCATTATTATATCTTATATTCCCATATATTCCCCAATGATATGACCAAACACCCCAGTTGACCCACCAAGGTGCTTGGTGACCCCTTCCCCGGCGGAGAGAGCCAGCACCACCGGGGTCCAGGACAGCACGCCGTAGGCGATCGCGGCGTTCCGAATGAGCTCCTGAGTTCACCCGGTGCGTTTTACGTAGGGAATGGATGGGTTGCGGGGGGTTGCTGGGATTATTGATCTATGGGTTGCTGGGGGTTGCTGGGATCTGCTGGGATTATTGATAGTTATTGTGGATGATTACTGATAGTTGTGGATCATTCCCAAAAATTCCCGTTTAGCACAAGTACGATATGATGATATGGATACTGTAGGAGTCAAACATGATATGCTCTAAGGCCTATTGGACCACAGATTTTAGTCCATCGGGCGTCAAACTTGAAGCACCCCTATGGGACCGATTTTGGACGGTGTTTAGTCGGTGGGGTACCAAACTTTGACCCGTACCCACATGATATGGACATGATGCTATGATATCATGGGAAAATTGTATGGGCATGTCTGACTATAAGTTCTCTGAGAATTTTGAAAGTGGTCTTGTCTCGGAATTGGAGATACGGATGATATACCCTAAAGTGGCAATTTTCATGGACAAATATGCTCATTCTAATCCTGGTATTTTGATGCAAGAAACCATGGAGTTCTTGGGCCCGAAGGCTGGCTACCACTTACATCGTGACGTCGGAGTGAGGATGTTATCATGCAAATGGTATGGGTATGGTATCATGGGAAAAAATATAGGAAAATCATGGGAATATGCGGGAATATGAAGTTACTTATATAATATGGTTTTGAGGACATTGTGGGAAAAATATAGAATAAGTATGGGACTGTCGTTGGAAACTAGGGGAGTAACATTAGAACATGAAGGACAGTTATCTAAATACTGTGGATCACGTATTTGTGGGAACATTCTCTGCGGGGAATCTATCTTGGCTTGGAAAAATTTTGATTGATGAATGGCTTTTCATGCAATGACTCACTATGCCGTAGGCACCGGAAACACATGCAGGAAACGATGAAACTTTCGCCCACCATGGAAATCCATTGCTCATGAGGAAGCCTCCTAATCCGAGATCTAGTCTATAACCTCAAAAAACAGCAAACTTGATGGTTACCCATGGTTACCCCAAAACATCAGCTGTCATTTCGATCTCCCATCGATTGGATTCCCTGACCCTCCAAATCTGATCCAAAGCCATTTTTCTCGGCTTGTCGCCCAGGAGCCACAGGATAAATTGGAACCCATTGCGAGATGAAGCCCATCAAACTGTAGAACCCCTGCGCTGTCGAGGAGTTTTTTCTTTCACCAACGTTGTGAAAAGCCGAGAAATTGGAGGAGTTGACCAATAAGAACATAAGGACGAGCTATATGGGATTATCTACTAGTAGCTCTTGGAATATAGAGCTCTAGCAAGAAACACTGGCGAGTCATTTGTAGTTTTACCATGTTTTACCGGCAGAAATGCATGTGCCTAAGAAAAAAAGAAGGATTGAAAGCAAACACATTTTGAAGAACATTTGGGATTTGACTTTTAGAGACCCACAAAAACCATATATATATACACATACATAGGTGCATATGTAGCAATAAAGACGGGGATGCTTAAACCCAACACCACAGCTATTCAGATAAACAACCGTGGGCCACAAAGCTCCCGTCATTCCGTTGCATCCTGGCAGCAAAAAACCCTCAGAAGCAGAAACAAACCAATATATATATATGGTTGGTGGTTTCAAGCCCCCTGAAAAATATGAGTTGGGATGATTAGTCCCAATATATGGACAAATAAAAATTATGTTCTTTTCAACAAATGCTCAATTCTTCAGCCGCAACATTTTTTGGCCATGCAGTTTCCAAGCCGTGCTTAGCTTGTCTGTCGTGTTTCTACAGCTTAGTGGCATGTTTATCAATGGCAAAATCATCTTTCAGACATCGAAATCGATTTTTGTTCCTTCAGACTCTTCAGACATCTTCAGAATGTCTGAGTGAACACTTTCATATGATTTTCATATGATTTCACATGTTTCCATCATTCCAAGCTGTCGAAAACCCGGGTCGCCATCTTTTTCTGGGGCATTTTTTTTCTGGGGCATGATCCCCATAGTCCCAGACCGAAGCAACCGAGCTGGCAACCAACTTCTGATAATTCAAGCACCAATGGGCACTGGAAAGAATTACATACAAATCTATACACAATTTGTTGTATCTAGTATATTCAATATACATAATGTTACATATACAATTCTATGTACACAATATTGTATATACACACACTGTACAGCCCTGATGGAAAACGAAAAACCAACCGCCAATTCCCAGGTCTTCGTTCCAGGCCAGGAGACCAAGTCAATGGCATAGAGGATCGGCAACATCAGCAGGAACCTGGAAGGGGTCTCCATGACGACCCATGCTCCATCTATGGAGAACCCGGATTTTTTCACTTTCGGAGATCTAGGTTTGTCTAATGGATAGCTCAGAGGGAACATGGTTTCAGTTTTCAACCTGTATATGGAATACATGCCAACATTTTCAACATTGACCAACGAACTTGACACGCAAAGGTAATTATTAAGGTAATATCATAATCAGATGGAGCATCTGGGATATGGAGTTCTCTCAAAATGTGGGACACCCCGTCGGTTAAGTCTGTTAAGAATGGACAGATTATGATGCAGTCAAATAATGTCAAATGTTATAAAAAACCACTAAATTATGGGGTGCCTTCTTTTGGACAAACTCATGTTAAAAAAAACCAGGTCCCTACAAGGTCTTTTTTCTTCAACCATTGGATTTTTGAAACATCATTGGATGACCTTTAAATGACTTCCCTGACAAACCATGAAAAAACTGGTTTTGAGTAGGAATATGATATTGATCTGTGTGTAAATGTACATGCTTATACGCAGTTCCTATTGTATTTAGAATATCATGGTTGTATCTCCCTTACACCCTGATTTCAACTCTAAATCAGATTGTGCCCTCTCATTTGGACGTGGCCATATTGCAGAGTTTACCCAGAAGTAAACTTAACCTTTTCCATGGCAACGGAGTCAACGGAGAAACAGACCCACTTCATTCGCCGCTTCACCCCGCCTCTTCCAATTTGGTGGCACGCTCACCTGCACTTGTCGCTGCCAGGAGTAGGTCCCACTGCTCACCACTTCCGTGGTCGTCATGGCGTCGCGAACGATGTGGGACAACAAAAAGAGCGAAAGTGCAAACGCAGTTCGTCGCTGGGGCCGAGACGGGCAAAGAAGATTGTTTTACAATGGAAAGTGCTGATGGTTGATAAAATATGACGAAATGACATTGTCAATTGTCCAAACCTATTTCAAGGACATGAATGGGGGGGTAAATCCACCCGTGTTGGAGAAAGCCACATGGCCAGTGGTGAACAGATTCATGATATTTCATGATATTTCATGATACTGTTTGTGTTGATACTTATCATAGATTTCCATGAACAGTTATTAAACGATATTGATATACCCCTCTTGAAGCAATCAGTATAACACATCACCATTGGACCATGGACGCAGCAGTGTTTTCAGCATCTCTATGGGATATTCTACCACCAACGTCAGCACAAGGAAATCCCAGAAAAACCAGAACATCTATATAGTGACTAATTATACGTAGGAATGCAACCCATTGCTGGCGATAAAACTTACAAAAAAACAACAACACTATACTGATATCATTTAGCAAATTCAAATGGGAACAACATTGACAATTAATCTCATCTCCCTAATATTAAACACCGCCTAAATGGTCCCAATGGTGTGGAATTTCCCCACTAAACCATGCTTTCTACGGGGTGTTTAATATTAGGGGGATGGGAACACAATGAACGCTGGCCTCTTGGGTTCCCGCCACCAAGTTGGAGAGAAGCTCAGTCGAAAGGTCCTAGGGCATCCAAGCTGCTTCGACCAGTAGAAACACGAGATTCAACCAGTAAGTTGGAGTCTGACCAGCAGAAAATGTCGATTTCACAACCGAAAATTGGGATCATAATATGATCTTAACCAACAAAACAAAAGCGATCCTTTGAAGGAAGATCCCTCTCATTTCGATATTCCAAACCCGTTGACTGACCACAAGGAACCACCAAATCGTTGATGTTCAGGTCTCCCCATTTTTTGCGGGGAAACACACTGTTGAGACATCCTGGACCTCCATAATACTGAAGTTTGAGCTTTCCCCAACTCATAGTAAGATTAGTAAGCATCCTTTAAAATATCACGTGGAAAACCATCTCCGCAGAGCATTTTGAGGTCAACTTGTTGATATTTCCAAATCCACCATCACTAATTCCTGTTGGGCAAATTGCAATATATCCCGAATCAGAAGGTGTTTGAAATATAGCATCTAACATCATCTAACCATACACTCAGTATCTAAATCTTATATGTATATATATATATATAGAGTCTATAGAGTCAATAAATAATGATATATCTTAGCCTTCTGTGATGTTGCCGGTTTGGATCATCTTACCTTCCTAACCACCTCCCTCAGGTCGCTATCTTGCCGAGCATCATCCATCAACAACGAAACCTCGAACCTGGTATACCCGGAGGACCCACAATGGCACGGTGAACGTAGCCCTTACTGTAGGTTTTGCCTCATACTGAATAAGCCAGAGTTTGGCTGTTTTTTTGCTGGTAGACATACAATGGAGTCCTCTTTTCAGGATCCCCTGCAATGTTTCTTTGGTTCTTCCAGTGATGAGTGGATTTCTATGGATTTCTGTTCCCCACTTTGAGATTTTTTATCACAACATCTTCTGATTATACGGCAAGACGACCCCAAAATGGATTGTTGCATACCGAAAAAAAGGAACCCTAGACCTACGAGGAAGTCACCAGCCTTTGCACCAACTTATCCCATTGGGGCTCTGGACCTGGCACTGGCGTTCCCCTGCTCTGCGCACGCTGCAGCGTCCTGCGACGCTGACCGGTTCGCTTCCCCACCGGGGAGGCCATCAGGCCCCTGGAATTGGCGATCTTCCACAGTTATGGCCCGAAATACCAGTTATAAGTACAATAATAACCCCATTTATGGAATGTACAATCTTATAGCCAATTAAAAATAATGTCCATAACTGCAGCAAACTTGGGGGATACAAATTCGGATGTACTGAAATCTGGCTATTGGGATAGAATGGGATATAACCAGCCGGAATCATTTGCCATCTGGTAAATTAACATAGACCCTGGCAGATAGGGGTTGGAAGATTAGTTTCCATTAAAACTAGGCTATGTTCAGGGTCTATGTTAATTTTCCAGAGGGTACCTGAAAATTAAGATATATTAAGATATAGGCAACCCCATGGTTTACGAAGTTTATCAACATGACACGTGGTGGATTTCCATGTTCATTTGCCGGTAGCTCCGGAGTTGTTGGCATCATTTCGGGTGTGATCTTTTGGGATGTGCGGTAGGTTGCTCTGAAACACCATATCATGAAATCAACATCATCATGACTCGAGTTTGATTCAGCAGCATCATGAGCTGATTTGTTCAAACAGCTCATCTTCACTATCTCTTCATCTCGAATATACATCAACATGGCTACTGCCAAAACCGTGGAGTCTCATCCTTTTCACACCAAACTCTCTGGACATAGCTGGACATAGCTGGCTCTCATACATGTTCGCCCAAACATATTCACAAGGAAAAATCATAGCTTTTGACTCCCCATCTTGACAGAATAATTCAATGGCTTGGTTTTAAAAAGTGAAAATCTACAGGAAAGCCCTATCGAAGGTTCAGATGTCCTGCAGATTTCCTTTCCAATTCAGGGATTCGAACATATTCTAACCATTTCTACCCCAATTAAACCACAATTAAACCACATTAAATCCCATTGAAATCCTATTGAAATCCTATTGAAATCCCATTGAAATCCCATTGAAATCCCAGCGAAATCCTATTGAAATCCTATTGAAATCCCATTGAAATCCTATTGAAATCCCATTGAAATCCCATTGAAATCCCAGCGAAATCCTATTGAAATCCCATTGAAATCCCACCGAAATCCGATTGAAATCCCATTGACATCCTATTGAAATCACATTGAAATCCAATTGAAATCCAATTAAAATCCCATTGAGATCCTATTGAAATCCCATTGAAATCCTATTGAAATCCCATTGAAATCCTATTGAAATCCTATTGAAATCCCATTGAAATCCCAGTGAAATCCTATTGAAATCCCATTGAAATCCCATTGAAATCCCATTGAAATCCTATTGAAATCCTATTGAAATCCTATTGAAATCCTATTGAAGTCCCATTGAAATCCCATTGAAATCCCAGTGAAATCCCATTGAAATCCTATTGAAATCCTATTGAAATCCTATTGAAGTCCCATTCAAATCCCATTGAAATCCCAATGAAATCCCATTGAAATCCTATTGAAATCCTATTGAAGTCCCATTGAAATCCCATTGAAATCCCAGTGAAATCCCATTGAAATCCTATTGAAATCCTGTTGAAATCCTATTGAAATCATATTGAAATCCTATTGAAATCCCATTGAAATCCCATTGAAATCCCAGTGAAATCCCATTGAAATCCCATTGAAATCCTATTGAAATCCTATTGAAATCCCATTGAAATCCTATTGAAATCCTATTGAAGTCCCATTGAAATCCCATTGAAATCCCAGTGAAATCCCATTGAAATCCTATTGAAATCCTATTGAAATCCATTAAAGCAACATTTTTCATGCTTCACTCGCCATGGTGACCTCGACCCCCCATCCCCACCTGACAGGGCCGCAGAGCACTGGGTGCCTTTCCAAAGCACGACGCACTGCAGGTCACCTGCGGAACCCATGGCGGAACCCCCATCAACATAATATATATATATACACGTAACATATTTGATAACCAATACTTCATGATTCGACAGACCTCTTCCCCCACCTCCCTCTGCTGCGGCCCGCAGTTCACACCGCACGCGGACCAGGCTCCAGTCGTCCAGCCGCAGGAGGGGCCGATCATGAACCTGCCGGGACTTGCCGGAGCTGAGGGGCTGAACCAAGACAATTTGGGGGAGGTTTTGGGGGAGGTTTTACTAAAAAAAATGGGTTGAAGCAACATACATTTGGATATATGAGATCGTTATGAATCATGACATAAGAACCATCAAGAACGATCAAGAATGTGGCTTCAACCATCAAAAAGACACACAACATGCGACAGAAAACATGGATCTCATCATCCAATAAAGTGATTTTGACTAGTTGAGACGTCACCTCCATGGGTGACCCTAGGGACATGAAGTATCGTCGACATCTGATGCTTTCACCGCTGGAAAGCAACTTGACATGCTAGTTTATCCTGCCAAATGTAGATGGACAGCATGTGGAGGTTTCCTAGAATGGGGGTACCACCAAATCATCCATTTCTAGATGGGATTTTCCATGAAATAAACCATCCACCTATCGGGGTCCCCCCATGACCATGGAAACCTCCATGAAACGTACTTTGAGGACCCAACCACCCTTGCGTTTGGCAGCTGAGATCCCTATTTCTGTTGGTGCCATCCGCTTATCTTGAGGGTCTGCCCAATGTGTTCTTACTCAATGGCTGATCTTCCTAGATTTTTGATTTTTCATTGGGTCTGCGCGCGCGCCACAACAAGCTGATTTTGGGGTTCTTAGGGGCGCGCGCGCGGACCCAAGGAAAAACAGTTTGTATAAACTTCAGCCTAAGTTTTTTCTTTTACAATTCCATGTCTTATGCTCAGAATCTCCCATTTTGCTCAGCGCATCTCTCTCTCTCTCTCTCTCTGGGTTTCCTATGAAGTACTGTATATCCGCACTACGGTTGCTTGAATCCCATTTTTTGGTTAAGTCACACATTCTACTGTTAAATCATGTTAGATCATACTGGTATCACTCCCCTGATTTTCCTTGAAAACAAACACGTTAAACACCCCTTTGTTGCCCTTGAAACGTTCACGATGAAACGTAAGTCCGGTGATTGGCTCAGAATCAGAGGTGTGCATGTCGTTATACCAATATCAGGTTTCCTACAAACACACCGGTACAAGGCGAAAATTGGAATATCAATGTACAAATTTACCACCCCTTTGTGGCTATCACCCATAAGTTGGAAGTTAACCCTGAAGATGGTTGGACGCCATGAAATCCATATGTTTTTTTTTCGTTCAACATCCTTTCTCACCCCATTCTCATTCAACCCCCCAAGAACAACCCCATGAAAAACCAGCACCTGGCCGCGCTGTCCGCATCGCAGCTCTGCCGGTCGGCCGGCCGGGCGGCCGAACAAAACTCCTGAGGACCGCCTGGAAAACGGTCAAAACGGTCGCGGCAATGTTTGAAAAGAGAATGGATCTGAGCAATCAGAATGGGTTTATCAAGGTTTATCAAGCAGAATTGAGGTTGAACGGTTGGACTTGGATGGGTTTCAAAGTTTTAGCCATAAATCAGCAAGACTTTCTGGATATACGATGGAGCCTCTGGTGAACTCACAACGAACTCAATGGATCACGATGGCCATGTTCCGCCATGTTAGTTTACCATAGAGCAATCAGTAATCGAGGAAATTTTAAGCCCCATGTTTGTCGGGATATGTGGCCTCTGTAACTGTGTTGATCTTTTTCCCCACTTATACCCACTTCCATCAGTGTTCGAACGCCGCTGGCCATCGTTTCATGAGAAAAAGTAACTCCCTATAAAGATAGAAAAAGGAATCAACCACTATATTTTGATTGGGACTTACTATTCGACATCTTTTTGGGGATGACTTATACTGATTGTTGAAAATCGGGATTCCCAGAATGGATAGGGTTTTTTTTCCCAATATATATAGGGGATAGTATAACCTCCTACAATTTTCAAACAAGAGCGGTTCTGATCACTCCTCAAATGAGAACCGAGTTTGAAACACACAAGGTAGTGCCACCATAGCTAGGCAAGCTGGTTTAGAAGTAGTTTCACAATGGATCACTAGGGTTTATGGTGATTATAGATGATTGTGGTATAGATTGGTATAGTCATATAGGTGGGATTTACCCCAATAATCAACATTGGCAGTTTAAATTGCATATTCATGGGATATGATATGATGATGAATATTAATGGAACACAAACCAATATAGCCAATATGATATATGGGTCTTAAAGTTTAGGATTTTGTGGTGTACAACCCGTTGCATCTCGTGATTGATCCCTTATTATTTGATGGCCTTTTCTAACCCGGTTAGAATCCCGGAAAGACGATGGGAATGATAGACATTCTTGGATAGGTCAAAATCAAAGACGGAAGGTATAGTATAAGAGGGATCTATAATTACGGATTTATGGCGCATATATCACATATATGGGTATGGGTCAATACCTATAGATACATTTTTAGTGGGATGAACATCCATAAATCCCAGCTATTTTGGGGTTCACTAGGTACCAGGGTTTTGACCCATCCCCATATATATATATATACATATTATAGATGTTTTCAAGATTTAATCAGCAAAATCTGGGATGGGGGGATCAGTTACTTCATGTTCACCACTTGGATGTGCATCCCACAAATCGGATGCATGGCTTGTCATCCATTGATCATTGATCTAAGCCATATTTCAAATTATCTAATCCCATATCATTGATCATTAACTGGGATTATCCCTTCACTATCCATTGATCATTGTCCAAGTGATCATTGATCATTAATCTAACCCATATCTGGTTTTTGAATATGGGATAACTGGGATTAAACCCAGTTAAAAACCCAGAGATATGGGATTTTAAATATCTATAACCCAGTTTTTGAGGCATCTCAGACTGGGATAATGCGGGGTAGATTATCATAATTCACCAACCTGAATTCTTGGGCCATTTTTTTTGGATGATTTCCCTAAAATCAGCCATGATTCCAGGCTTCGGTCGCAGCGAGGTCGTTATAATTTACCCAGATATATGTATTATGGGATAATTATACTAAACTAACATAACTATGGAAAATCACCATGTTTAATGGGATAATCACCATGGATAATTATACTTTACGCAGATGGGATGCACCGGCTGCATCAAGCGCTGGACCTGAGCAGCGGATCTCCCGACTGCGTGTGCCCAGACCGCAGCCCTCGCTGCAGTTGGACCAGCTGCCCACCAGCCAGTGACACCCAACAGTCTCGAAGCACACCTGGGGCCGAGATCACCGAGATCAAATCTTAAGGATATGGTGAAGGGGTGTCATCTGGTGTCAGAAACATCCCTCCGATGATCTTACACATTCTGACACACCGTCCCAGAATTTTATCAAAATTGCGCCGCATCGTCACAGATAAATTTTGTCATTTTGGGGGTCAAAAATGCGACCTATTTATTTATGTTTTTTTGCAGGTTCGACAACCTTTACAGCACTTCGGTGGACAAAACGGAACGATCGGAGAAAACTCATTTCTGCTCGCCGGTTTCAGCTCATCAGCTGTCGCAAGGCCATGCCTGTCTTCTTCAACAGATCTTCTTGGCCATTTTCCCACCTCCATGGGTGAGACCTTATATATTTCCACATTTGCCCTTGTTAATGATTTCTTATAAATTACTCATTAAAAACCAATTTTATTGCCCACATTAAATCCCACCTTAAACATTTATTTTGCCCTTGCGTTTCAAAGCTTGCCATTGTCTGTTTGACCGTGTGGGCTCTGATTCGTCCCCTTGGACCAACGGACCAAACCATTTACTGAAGATCCCTTTGCTATGATTCCATTGCAGCAATCAAATTCTTTTGAACTTTAACGTGGCGTCTAAGATAACTACATGTGATGTGCAAGTCCATGATGTATGAGCATGTACATTAATGTTAATACCCCACCCCACCCCAGCCCCAACGTACCCCTGACGTAGCGTCTGAGTCTAAGAGAACTACATGTGATGTGATAACTACATGTGATGTGCAAGTCCATGATGTATGAACATGTACATGAACGTTAATACCCCACCCCACCCTACCCCCAACGTACCCCTGACGTAGTGTCTAAGATAACTACACGTGATGTGCAAGTCCATGACGTATGAGCATGTACATGAATGTTAATACCCCACCCCAACCCCACCCCAAATCCCACTCTTTTTGGACGGTAAAAGATCCGTCTGCATAAACATGTATATATATATAAATATTAAAGAAATGGATATAGATACTGACACAGATATACAGTAGATACATATATATAAGTATAAGAATATATCATAGATAGATAGATAGATAGATAGATAGAAAGATAGATAGATAGATAGATCGATAGATAGATAGATGGATAGATAGATAGATAGGTAGATAGGTAGATAGGTAGATAGGTAGATAGATAGATAGATAGATAGATAGAAAGAAAAGATAGATTAGATAGATAGATTAGATAGATAGATAAGATAGATTAGATAGATTAGATAGATTAGATAGATTAGACAGATTAGATAAGATAGATAAGATAAGACAAAATAAGATAAGATAGATAGATAAATAGATATAAATATATATATATAGATAGATAGATAGATCGATAGATAAATAGATAGATCGATAGATAGATAGATAGACATATTAATTAGATTTAGATATAACATGTTATATATAATTGTGTGTTGTCAAAACACCTCATGAATACTGTATTTAACATTTGCTGAAGAGGGGGCACAAAGAAACATGTCCTCAATATGTCTCAATAGATTCCCCAAATGGTGGATATACCGCAGCGGAGAATAGAACACCATCCGTGGCGAATCCATGTGGAGCAACTCCTACACATGTGCTGCCCATTTAAGGTCTTGCACCACGTCACTTTGAGGTACCAAATGACTTGACCCATACCCAAATACACAACAAAAATGCTGGTTGTACATATAGTAATATAGTTACTTAGATGCCGCCTCTTCATTAACCTTTGCTAAGCATACAGCCTACATCCCTAATTTCTATGATTTCCCTCCGTAAAAGTCAACATTTGGAGTCTGCTTCTCTATACTTTTCTATCGGCATTGTCGGATCTGTTGGGAAGAAGTGAATATCATTGGAAAGTATAGAATACAATGACAGGAAAATATCTGGTTGGTTCATTTTGTGATATTTTTCTGTCTCGAATGAACCCAAACATTGGATGACCTCAGACTAAAACAAATCCAGATACCACACACATGGGCGGAAACAAACATGTCCCACCATTTGTTCATGGTCAGTCCATGGTCCCTGAAAACGCAGTTATCTCCACATCTTCTTTGGCAAATCTCCCTTCTTGGTTTGTTGGTTGTAAATTCTACGCCGTTTGGCCAACATATCACTGTTCAAGACTGGGACCAAAATGTCAATTCCCTGACTCTTCAATTCCCACGCTGCAAAGCCATGTTCTTTTTGGGTTTATGGATTAAACAAAAAAGTGTTTGTTGCTTAAAAAGAAACACAAACTTGGGTTAAATCCAAAATCTGATCCAAAGGAGTACCCAACTTCTGTAAAATTGAGCATTTTGTTGACAAATTCCCTAGGTTTTCGTTCCGGAAATCTGTTCATTGACTTTCACTACGAGCGGCTCGTTCTGTTTTTTTTGTGGGATGAATCCTCTACAGCCTGGATCTGGGAAAAACCGAGAAATCGTCATTGAAATCCTGCATAGAAAATGGGGGTCTCCTGAAAATTTCAATTACGATTTCTCAGTTTTTGATTTGATGTATGTTTGTCCGAAAATCCTAAAGATCTATGTTTCTCCGAAAATGAGGCTCTCCTGAAATCCATTGATTTAGAACACCATGTCGTGAAAAGTTAAATACTAAAATACAATGAACTACAGCATTTTGGCGGGGTATACCCCATTGCGGGGCACTCCCAAAGATGAAAATTCTTCCCGTTGCCGGCTTAAATCACGTGTTTACCATTGGTTAAAATCCCCATATATTTTCAACAGATCAAACTGCTCCATACCTAGGTTATTTTGGGGCTCCAAACTGACAATTTCTGCATGAACAATCATGACTAAGGGACTAATTGGATTGTGAGGCATGTTCAGCAAACCCATATCGCCAGCTTTGTCGGTTGCATACAGCCTGTTCAACAGAATTTGCAATGTTTTATCCATGTTTGCAATATGTATATAATTATATATGATATAACATAACAGTTAACTATAGTTTAGATATGTATATATATATATACATATGTTCATATTTAATGCATCTCTGTTCCATACAGTTCACTATAGTTGCTTTCATAAATATAATAATATATGTATATATCTTAAAATACATATCCCATACAGCTAACTACAGTTCATATACCCAGCTCCTTTCCATAGCCAGCTATAGTTTATTCCCCTTTCTCTAATCAAACATGGCGTGCCTAGCGTGCTGGAAAAAAGACACTATTCATAGATTGTTACCATCAAACCATATTGAAACCTGTATTGATGATTTCCAAATGCCATGTTTGATGACTCTCGTCGACGAGCCTATTCCCATCAACATCCCCACGAGAATTTATCCCCATGAATTCCCCATGAGAATCATCAAATAAGAAAAAACAATCACGATAAAATCCTATGCTGAAAAACCATGTGGGTAAAACAGAATAAACCATCCCACAATCCCAGTCATGGATGGTTTACTATTGTTTTTCCCACATTAATCTGGGTAAATTTTTATATTTCATGATATTTCACTAATATGAATTAAGGCCATTTGGAGATGATCTCTCTTACTAACCATGATTCCAGTGAGGTCGCAGTGAGGTCGTTATAATTTACCCAGATTGATGGTGATATTACTGGTATTTAATGGTAATATGAATGGTGATTGATAGTTCTTAATGTGGGAAACCCAATGCCACAAAGAACTACCATGACTAGGGATGCTGTATACCATCTATTAATTAATCACTTTAAACTTCCATGAATTCCATTGAAACCCAGCGAGTTCCGCCTGTTGGGAGGCGGGACTTTCTCCACAGCTCGTAGGCTCGTTGCCTTCAGCTGGGTGCTTCAACCCAAAAAAATGGCCTTGAAAACTTCCATCTTAGTGGCTGAAATCCTAATTTGAGCGGGATGAATCATGATAAATCGGATGATAAACTATCATAAATCGGATGATTTTTATCGGATGATCAATCATGATCAATCATGATAAATCCCTGTTCAGAACCGTGGCACACTGCACACTGCGTTGCTGCACTCCGTCGCCACACTGTGTGGAGCAAGGTGACCACTCGCTCAAAGTCCACGCGTCGCAGGCGCTCCCACTGCACGGCTCCTCTGAGAGCGGCCTGTGGAGCACCAGCACTGGAGATGGCAAACCCGTAACCATAGGACCTATACAAATGGTGATGACTGGGGGATGGTTTACTATTGTTTTACCCGTATTATCCAATATTATCCAAGTATCGGCAATTACGTATCAACATGATTATCCAGCTATAATTATCCAAAAACTGGGTTAGTATGATATGGAATAGTGGGTTACTGATACTAATGGATTCACAATCAATAGTAACAATATCATGGGATATCCAATATTTGGATTTATTAGCTAATTATGATCAACATGATTGTGGCGAATGATGGTTATTTCCTTGGATTCTTATACAATATTACCCAATGATAACGGATGAATAGCTAATTCATGATATTATGGAAATTGATATCATTATGATTCGTATTTTTCTTATATTATCCAAGTCTAATTACTATTATCAATATTCGCCAAAGTTATCTCGGATTTTATCCATGATATTGGAGTTGGATTATTGGATAGTCATTGGAGTATTAATCTATTTGTGATTACTTTGATAGTAATCCAGAATTATCATTGGCATTGATAATATTTAGAAAGGGAATTTCGACATAATTGAGACCATACAATGGGGCTGTTTAATATGAACGGGTGATGGGATTATCATAAATCAGTCATATATGACCGATCCAATGATTCTCAGTAATTAATCCTATATATAATTATATATAATTATATATAATCATATATAATCATATATATATATATATCTATATGATACTTGGATATATATATATATATGTATATATATTATGTGTTTGGGTTGTACAGAAATGAGTCATTTTCTATGGAGGTTTCTGAAAAGTCATTTTCCAGTCGTCCCCGTAGTCATCCATGACCTGGTGGCGGGTACTCGCTCCATGTCTGGTTCTCCAAGATGACGAGGATGTTTCTGGGTAAGATATAGAAACTTATACCATATGGAGACTATTGGTTCATACCAGATGGAATGCTCCATGGGTAAGACTCCATGTTCATAGAATTTAATTATTTGGATGAATTTGGGTTCATACCAGTATATTCTATGAATTTCTATGATGTTCCAGGGAGTTTGTGACTTGGTTTAGTCTTGGATCAATTCATGACCTATTTGCCGGGGTCCGAAAAATTGGCGGGGTATTTGATATTATCCTGGGATGGGATTACAATGATTACAAGCTGTTTAACAGGGCCAACGGTGTCCCTGAACAAGGCTAAAAACGCTGGGATTACAACCCCAAGCGTTCGCCTGGTCGAGGCGTTGCAATGCTCCACATCCGTTCCGGAGCAGCGGACCGAACGTGCGCGGGTACCGTCTCCACAATGGCTCGAGCCTCAGTGTGGTGTTATCGAAGTGGTGAGAGTCGGATAGGTGGATGGATTGGATGGATTGGATGGGGACGTTTCCAAAATTTTCCAAAAACTAATCAACCATCCATAATTTGACTGTTAATCAACCAATATGCCCATAATTTTGGATGGATTGGATGGATTGGATGGGGACGTTTCCAAAATTTTCCAAAAACTAATCAACCATCCATAATTTGACTGTTAATCAACCAATATGCCCATAATTTTGGATGGATTGGATGGATTGGATGGGGACGTTTCCAAAATTTTCCAAAAACTAATCAACCATCCATAATTTGACTGTTAATCAACCAATATGCCCATAATTTTGGATGGATTGGATGGATTGGATGGGGACGTTTCCAAAATTTTCCAAAAACTAATCAACCATCCATAATTTGACTGTTAATCAACCAATATGCCCATAATTTTGGATGGATTGGATGGATTGGATGGGGACGTTTCCAAAATTTTCCAAAAACTAATCAACCATCCATAATTTGACTGTTAATCAACCAATATGCCCATAATTTTGGATGGATTGGATGGATTGGATGGGGACGTTTCCAAAATTTTCCAAAAACTAATCAACCATCCATAATTTGACTGTTAATCAACCAATATGCCCATAATTTTGGATGGATTGGATGGATTGGATGGGGACGTTTCCAAAATTTTCCAAAAACTAATCAACCATCCATAATTTGACTGTTAATCAACCAAGATGCCCATAATTTGGGATGGATTGGATGGATTATTGGACTATCAATATCCCAATTTTTGACTGGTAAAACATGTTGAAATCCCAGAAGATGGCAGGTTTATGGTTGGAGGATCATTTTGGGGAGAACTGGACATTCTTAGTTTAGTGCCAGGAGCCCAACTCCGCCTCTGGTGATTTCGATCAAAAAAATGGGAATGTGTGATCATCCTTGGGACCCTTTTTCGAAAACTCTACCAACCAAAAAGACTTCGGACATCTCAAGTTCATAACTGTGGGAACATCATAAAAGGTAATCTCTTGGATCTGTTAGTCATGTTCACCAAAAAAAATCAACATCTCATCCCGTCCCATGAATTCCACATTTTTTTCCCACCCTTTCATCGCTCCCGTCCGTCACCGGGCCACAGCTGGACCAGTCGCCCATCTGCCACTGACACCCGAGGCGTCCCTGGCAGCTTTGCAGCGCCATGGGCTTCGACGAAGCTTCGCAGTCTGCTGCGCTACCGCCTCGGTCGTTGGCTTTTATAGGATTTATGGGCGCGGAATTAAGTTGGCATTGTTGTTTTTCGGGGCATTTTTTGTTGTTCAGGGTTGGCCTCCTTGCTTTCATAGGAAAATCCTCCAACCCATAGGTGTTTTTTCCATTTGCCAGGGTACCTTATCCAAGTATATTCTGGGAAGAGCAGTAAGGTAACTATATGTAAGTATCATGGATCATACTGTTGATACGATATTGATGGATCCTAAACACTTGTTGATATAAATATGGTTCCGGATCATGAAGTTTCAGTAAGAGAATGAATATGATTAATTATATATATATATGATTTTTTTTATGGATGTCTGAAACAGAAACATCATGGAATTTTAATATCTTCAGAAGCACCAATAAGCATACTGTACCAGCGGGCACATGGAAAGGAGACAGCATCAACATAGTTTTCACCCATCCTCTCCTGACACCTCCCACCCAGTTCTTAAGAGACGCGATTTGGCGATTTGGGGTTTCCTAATTTTAGGATCCCCAAATCATCCAAAATCAGATCAGTTTAGCTAATTGAAAGCCATGATTTATATGATTTTGAGGTACTCAATTGAGGTACCTCCAGGGACTCCCGAAACCTCCAGGCATCAAATGGCATCAATCTTTGGAGCAACACTCAAGTCTCCCATCGCAAAACGAAAACCGAGATGCTGGGACAAAGAACAGCTCTGGTTTGAGTGCCTTCACCACAACTCTGGCTGCAGACCTGAGATCCGACGATTTTTTTTAGGTCAATGGAAACTTAGAGATACCAAAAGGGAAACCAAACATGGCCGACAATGGAAGATCAGGATATATCCCTTTTTCGAATCAAATATGATAATGGAAAAAAAACAAAATCGCTGCAAACCCTAGGTTTGCCCGATGCGAATCCCGAATATCCTTTGACATGCTCAAATCCCTTCGTAAGGTTTATTTTTATTTTTACTTTCCAGAACAACAAACCCCAAAACCCTAGAACCCTAAAGCTTAAAACCCTAAATTAAAACTCTAAATCCTGAAAACTTAAAGTCAAAATCACTGCGTATAGCCAGAGTTTTCATTCATTCTCTGGTGATAAGTATATCATATTGTTTGAATGTGTCGTTTTTTCGCGTGGGCGAACCCGGGGTTTGGAGGGAACATCTTGAAAATCAGAGCATGGAAATATCACACCTGGTTGGTGGTGCAATAACCATCTTGAAAAATATGAAAGAGTTCGTCAATGGTTGGTGGGTTACATCCCATATATGAAATGGAAAATTCCAAACATGTTTGAAACCACCAACCAGACATCTTTTTGGAGAACGTCCATCTGGAAACGTCTTCCTTTAGAGAAATGGCTTCGGGAACACCAAAGACTCACCAGGTGACCGACCAACTGGAGGTGGACCATGTGCAACCTGCGGCACGGCGGGCACTGAGCCCCTTCAACGATCATATGAGATTCAAAAGGGTCAACAAACTAATGATACCCTCTGGTAATTTGTTACATAGCTATGGAAAATGGCCATAGAAATAGTGGATTTACCCATTAAACATGGTGATTTCCCATGGTCCATAGTTATGTTAGTTTACCAGAGAGTTAGCAAAAAAATGGCGATAAAACTAATGGATAATGATGATCATATATTTTAAAAAATGATGGTCAACAAAATAAAAATAGGTAATGGTGACAATATGTGACAATGCTTTGCTTGAAAAAAAACATGCACATTTGGTTAACAACATCTCCATATTGGTTCACTGAAATCCGTACTGTTGTTCACAATCCTCATTGTTGGCCAAATGCATTCTTTTTGCTGGCGACAGTGTTTGATGATTCCAATCTTTTTGGTAAAACAAATCACCCGATTTCATGGTAGATTTATGGCTGAAATCGGTTGTAACCCTTCTTGTTTCCTTTCAAACTTAAAATTTCATAAATAATCTAAACACATACTTTACAAATCTTTACGTAAATATATAATATATAATACTTCACATAAATATTACATATACATATCCCTTCTTATTTATATGTAGAAAATATATCATCCCTTCTTATTTATTTACATATCATTACATATAATTATTACAATAATAAATATATCAGCCCCCCCACAAAAAGGTCGCACCATCCTTCGGTCCCCCGCCTGTGACATTGCGACACTCCTTGCGATCCAAAGGCCTCGCGCTGAAGGCGCAATCCGCGTCCTCACCACTGGGACACGCCACGGGACGTGCCGAGACGCCGTCGCCGCACGAGGTGCCTGGCCCAACGTCCTACTAGCGGATCCGATCAAACACAGCGGCGTTCCCATGGATGATATACACGTGACATGATTCTTGTCCATGCATTAAACAAACAGAGCAAATCGCACTCTGATCTTGTTTGAACCCTCAAACGCACTGGTGAATCACCCTTCCCCCCCCTCTGATGACCAAAAATCAAAGCACAGGTAACCCAGAAGCTCTGGACCAAGGTGATCCAAGGTGCTACAGAGCCCCCAATCGCCAATCTGCCACTCACAGTGCATGGTACTTCTGCATGCACGAACACTCACAGGCGCACTGCCAGGATCACCTTGGTGTGGGGCAAGCGCCCTGAATCTGACACCAACGCCCGCCAACGGTAGATCCAGTACATTCCAACTCATCTTGCTAAGTCTGACTATTTGGGTGCTTTATCAACCTGAAGAATTTGGGGCTTCTTATTTCCCCTGCCTGGTGAGAGTCTCTGGATTTCAACAAAGGTGCAACTCCCACCCACCCACCCACCTGCCCTCACTCCTTCTCCGCGTCCTTCTCCTTCTACCAGCCTGTCGTCATTGTGAGCACCAACGGGCCTGGATGTCACTGCAAATGCCAGCTCAAGCACTCTCGCTCCAGAGGCTTCTCGCTTACCACAAACTCCGGATCAGTCTGGGCACGCACGGGCCCGAACCCTTATCGCAAAATCTGGCTCACTCTTCGCACGCACGGATCGGAACCTTGTCACGAGCTCCGGATTCAGCTGGGCACGCACTGACCCGAACAGATAAAGAAAGTGCCAGACTGAATGTCAGAATATATGTCAGATAGAATGTCAGATAGAATGTCAAACAGAGTGTCAGAATATATGTCAAGTAGAATGTCAACGTATGTGTCAGAATATATGCCATATAGAATGGCCGAACAGACGTCAGATTGCATGCCAGAAAGCATGCAGATAAAATACCAGAGAGAATGTCAGAATACATGTCAGATATATCAGACAGAATGTCAGAATATATGTCGGATAGAATGCACGATAGAATGTCAAATAATTATACATGTAAGTTTGAATTTCAGCTCAAGTGCCAGAAAGAAAATCAGATAAAACGCCAAACAGAATGCAAGACAAAATGTCAGATAGAATGTCAAACAGAATACCATAACGAATATCAGAGTACATGTCAGAATATATGTCAGAGAGAATGCCAAATAGAATGCCAGAATATATGCCAGATTGAATGCCAGAATATATGCCAGAATAAATGCCAGAATATATGCCAGAATATATGCCAGAATATATGCTAGATAGAATTCCAGAATATATGTCAAATAGAATGTCAGTTGGTGGGGATCACTCGAGGAAAGTAATTTCTTTTGGTGACTTTTGAGATTTACACTAATGTGACTAAAACAATAATCATCCATCCCCCAGTCAGTACCATTTTTATAGGTGGTATGGTTACCATTCCCAAAGGGGTGGTTTATCATTGTTTTAACCACAATATATATATACAAATCCCATTAAAATCATCATTTCTGTTGCTTAAATTGCTTAAATCCCAGCAAAACCACCTTTTTTTTCGCACCATGAAAACAACACCTCCATTCCCTCCATTCCCAACATCGATCTGCTTGGGATCCCCCATCAAAATTTGGGAATGAAAATTTGTTTTCTGGTCCATATCATCATGACATATCATAAATCGTGGACCCCTGGGACCCCGCTAAGAGGCCTGGGAACCACGATCAATCCTCCGCAACTTTCAGGAATAGACAATACATACGTGGAACAACTGGACCCTTGCAATTGATCATCACATCTGAATGTGTGAACTGTGGTTAAATCCCTCTATTTTTGGCCGGAATTTTATGGCTACCATATGAGCCATTGGATTTTTTCTGATCCCGCCCGTCCCTCTCCAGCACCAAGTTGCAGCTCTCGGCCCCACAGACCAAACTCCGAGTTTCGTAGCCCAAGCCGCAGGTGGCATTGCCTGATCTGTGAGGTTCTTTACTACGGAAAAATGCTGGGAACATCGGAGCGAAAACCACCGTTTTTTTAGGGGGTGCGTTAGTAACCATACGCTCAAACATAGCTTTAAGGATACGAATTTTGAAATGTTCCTATATGGAACTCGTCGTCGGGAATGGCTGCGGTCGGGAAGCAAACATATGCCAAAATGATAACCATATATGCATGCATGTGTGTATATATATATAATGTATACATACGTATATATGTATATATATATATTAATGTATGTAATATATATATATATACTAATATGTTATGTAAATGTATACAATGTGTATATATGTATACTATAATATATATGTTTCATAGATAATAATTGGCCCAGGCACAGTTTCCCCACTGTCCAGTCCACCATTGACACCCAGTTGTGCCTGGTGACGCTTTCGAGTTGGTTTCGAGTGCCCAGCAAAGTGGCGAAAAACACGAGGTTCATTAAGGTTTATATGGGTTTATATTGGATTCTATGGGTTTCTAAGGTTTTATGTTCAATTATAACTATAGTTACTGTAGTTACTATAGTTAATGGGGTTTATGAACCAAATATAACTGGATCTTGTCAGAGATATTACTATGATTGATTATATGAACTCAGAGTATGGAAAATCCTGCAGATTTTGATCTAACTGCACTTTTAAATGCAGTACATAGAGTCATTTGCATATGTTTGTAAGCATGATACAAATGATTGGGATTGGGCACAGCATGTCATGCGAGGTTGCCTAAATGTTTTTTCTAAGTAGGTCACAACAAGCCTGGAACTTATCCAAGCATAGATGCAAAAAGGAATTGCAAACCCGAAATAAGGATATAGTTGTTCCCCAAATACTCCTGTTATTTCCTATAATTGTAATTTGGGGAACAAGTCATGACACATTTTATTTGCATGAACATTTCTCTGTCATGAATTGTTCTCCAAATACTCCAAGCCTGCCAATGTGGGCAAGGGTCAAAAAAAGGGTGGCAACACATTGCCAAAGGCTTGGGATGTTGAGTAGCTGGGTAGCTTTGAAACACCGACTTGAATCAAGTGCCACACCCGCAATGAAGTCGTTTTTTGGGTCGTCAAAAAGCTTAAACATTTACCACACAATGCCATCTCTGGGGCTAAAACACATGGTTCCTGTAACGATTGATAATTGATAGCAATTATTGATTTGTACTCTGGGACGTGAAAGTCAGTGCATATGTGGAACGAAGGTAAAAGCTGCATGCATTCAGGAAGTCAAACAAGTCAATGCAACCAGGTCTAAAACACCATGGGACGCACTATGTAGAAGTGTTATTTTTAGGTCCCTGGCAGTGCACTTTTCTATTGCCAAATTGTCCAAATCCCCACAAGGACGCGTGTGCACAGTTATGTTCCACAATCTTAAAAATATATATCCACGGATGTTAAACACCATGTGGACGCTTATCCAAACATGCACATTGATACCTACGCCATTTACTAGAACTTGCGCCAGCCGCATGGCACACGAGGTCGTTCGGCAGCCTCATGGCTCTCCAATAAAGAGCAATAAAGAGCAATAAAGAGCAGTTGCATTCATTGCATATTAATAACGGCTTCAAGATCGTTAGAGTATATAATATACTGCACCCATGTGCTCCATGTATGGAATATTTACCAACATTTGCCCCAAGAAACACCCAAATGTAGGTAAATATATCATACATTGAGCATATGGGTTATATTCAAGGCCACTAGACTATAAATGATCCCAAATCCCACCCAAGAATTTACTTGTGACACACATCCCCAGCCAGGTTGCTATAACATTCCTTGCTGCTCGCCGGCTTCTCACCAGGACATTCCTCGTCTCGGCCCGCGCTGCACGACACCACACGGGTGGACACGCCCGAGCCGCAGGAAGCATCACAATCGCTCCACCTGTCGTGTTCAATCCCCGGTTGGCCCGCGGAATTCTGGGCAAATGATATTGTAAACCCCATGAATACTACAGTTAATAGTTACAGGTATCATAAACCATAGTTATTGAAGTTATGTTCACCAACTTGGCTATCGGGGCCCCACATGGTAGGTTTTTTAATTTTGAAGATGTCACCATTTCTTATCGATGCTTTGTCATGTTCCATGGCTATGGCAAACCCAAAAATTGTGTACATACCAATGTGCCAATGGACCCACAATAAGCGCGGAAAAAATCCTTCAAATGCTGAAGACATGTTTCTATGAGCATGTCCTTGTGATAACTTCACCTGGCGAAATCGTCCCAGCACTGGGCACGTTCGCCCAAGCAGATTCCAGGCGTGTAAAGGATACAACTGCAGCGCAGATTGTCAGAGCTGAGAAACAACATACAACACTGACTTAGTCACGGATGTCACTGGAGTGGTTTAACATTGCTTAACTCTTTTTAAAGGACAATTTCACAGGACACCCTGTCGATTTTGCTGGAGAAAAAAAACATGGCTTTCCGGTCGAAATTTTCCCTCCAGTTACTGTGCCAAGTCCTTGGAATCAGAATTTCAGATGGTCCCACACAAAAAATAAACGTATAGAAACCACCAAAAAAGATTGGGGAACAAAAACACACATATATATATATTATACTGTAATATATATATATAACTATATTCATAATAATTAGTAGGATTTTGTGCAATGTTATTTTCTGTTCTACTTTTCTGTCTTTTGCACGGTCATCCGCCAAGCTGCTCGGTGGAGCGCCATTCGCAGACGGTCTCGGACAGACACGCTTCGACTTCACGGGGTTTGCTGGCCGCACCTGGGCTCAGGTCTCATGGTGATTGGGAAAAACATGTTTACCTCCGGTACCCTCTGGTAAACTAACATAGCTATTGAAAATTGCTATTTATAGTTGATTTACCCATTGAAAATGGTGATTTTCCATACTTCTGTTTGTTTACCAAATGGTAAATTCACATGTTTACCCCTTGCAGATAGGGGTTGGAAGATGAGTGAAACCACTATGGGTTATTTTCAGGGTCTGATTTACCAAAGGCTATTTCGAAGGATTGGATTTTATCGGATAGCCATCTCACAATACTCATCATATGATAAGCACCAATCAGACAATCTTTAGCACAATCACAACATCCGCATTTCTTAAAAAGGCTAACGCCCATTTGTTTGGTTGAATTGCTATGGGTCAAAAAGCCTGGTTCCCTTTTGCTCATCCCCACTGTTCATCCCCAATCCATGGAAAATCAGCCGGGTTTTTGACTCCACGCATCTCCAAATCCCCATGAACCATCCCCATAGCCCAAGTAGAACATCTCATCATCTAACATGATCTAACATCACTCTAACCATTTCTTGAAGCTAACACCAGTTTTCCTTCCAGGTCTTCCAGCTCATCCAGGTCTTCCAGGTCTTCCCAGGCTCCCCCGGTTCCGCTCCAGGGCACAGCCAGCTGTGCCATGCCGCGAGGGGCACAGGACCTCGCGCACGCGCGAGCCGAGGGAACCGCAGCTCAAGGCACTGCAGGCGCTCCAGGGGCCCACGGACCAGAGACAGCCTGGCGTTGGGCCATCGGTCTAAGGCTCTTGAAGATGAAATGATGGCGTGGGCTATGGCTGATGTATCACATATTAATATCTATAGAGTTTATATCAATTTATTACAGTCTCTCTCTCTCTCTATATATATATACATACACATATTATACGGAATCTGTGACATGTTGTTTTAATGTCTAGGGGATGATGTATGAACATAGCATGGACTTGTTGGGCTTGTCCGGTGCATCAATGAAGTTCTTATAATGTTGATGGGTCCTTTGGGATTGATGAACAAACACCAAAACTCTTGGGCTTTTTGGGGTATGTACAAATTGGTGTAATTATATACCCTCAGCTCCTTGGGGGCCTTGGTGGTTACAAGTAGTTGATGGTATGTAACTATCTATATTTATTTCACGCTATCATTCTCCGCAGTATCTGCATTCCGACACAAAAGAGAGACAAATTTGGCTATAATTTTGGAGTTGCTATAATTGCTTATATTTGGTTATAATCAAACATGTCATCGCTTTTTCCTTTTTGGTAAATACATTGGATTTTCCCATCAAGCATGTGAAATTCCATTGATTTCTTATTGCCATGTTTGATTGCCAAAGCGCATACTGCCCCTTAGTTCGCAGATCTCTCCAACATTTTCCGGGTTTGTCTTAAAGTGGCCGACTGTTCATCGGGAAATGTGCAGAGCCTCACCATCAAAATGGGTGTTTTGTTGTCCAAAGCCAGAAAAAAACCATGAGGGGTTTTGTTGTCCAAAGCCAGAAAAAAACCATGAGGGGTTTCAGTCTAAATGGCTTTACCAAAATTGCAATATACATTTTACCAAAATTGGGTTTCCCCAAAATCAGGTGCCGCCAGGTAGGAACTCCATGGGCAGGGCGCAGGGCACCTGCCGCTTGTTGGTTGCAAGCCTCTTGATCCAGTGGTCGAGTTGCCTGGCTGTGACCCTAACCAGCTGATTTGATAAGTCCAAATGATAACATGACCAATTTATAGATATCATTCAATATACCATTCAATATTGTTATTCTATATTCTATTCCATTCATTGAATGATACTGATGATATTGATGATATCTATACCATTCTATACCAACAGAATATCATCCTCTTTGGCAAGAGGTAAATTACAGTAACGAGAAATATGAAGGTTTTTCTTTCCATGGAATGTTTGGCTGGCAAAGGGATGCAAAGGGTACATGATACTTCAAGACTCAGAATTTCAAGGGGCAGGAGAAGTTCTGGGAGTCTCAAACACCAGTAAGGTTGAAGTAGAAGGGATACTGTCCATGGATACCATACCTGGCTCTGAATGATGCCCAAGTATGCAATCCCTTCCCTTCCCGAAACATGGAAACAAGTCGCGCTAGATGCGGACACTCATCCCAAACATCCAGAAACAATAGGTCTATTTGGGCATCAACAAAAACTGGTTGGTGGTTTTAACCATCTTGAAAAATATGAAAGTCAACGGGAAGGATGACATCCCATATATCATGGAAAATTAAAAATGTTTGAAACCACCAACCAGAAAAAGGTAAATTACATTATGTTCACTACTCTTTCAAATCGCTGATCATTTTCCCAGCTTGCTGCCTTAAATTCTGCACATATATATATACACACCTGATGTTCCCATTGAGAGAAGCCAAGTTGGGGGAGTTTCCATTGCCTTTCCTGTTGCGACGCACCTGCGAGCAATCCGATGCATCTCCACTCAAGCAGGTCACGTTCCTGCCATGCTTTGGGGGGTGGATAAATCCACATGGCGACTGTCGGTCTCATGGAAGCTGCGAACTAGCTTTGACTTGCACAGATTGCTGAAGGTTCATTTATGATTCATGACATGTTTTCTCGTATTTCATTCTTGATGTCCATATCTTGGGTCTTTGTATGGTTGAGAATGTTGGTCAACTAATTCTAGATATAGCGACGGACAAATACTTAGAACATCATTTGGAAAAAAAATCTGAAAACCGTCACAGCGGGGATGTTCTAAGTATTAAGTCGTTAGAACATACCCAAAACCTATACTTAGAACATTTCCAAGCTATACTTAGAACATCCCAGTGGGGAACCAATGGGAACCATACATATATGTTCAAAATTATACATAATTCATTTTAGCTCATTTTAGTATTGAAACCTATGCTTTTTGACTACCTCCTGTAGGAAACCCACAAATTATATACTAGAGACCTTCCCATTGCAGCGAAGACTGCTTGGGATATTGTTCCCGAAGAAAAGGTATAGAATGCTGCAGCAGTGAGGGGAGAAAGTGTTCTAAGTATGGTGTTCACCAAGGTATTTGTGTGTATATATGCAGATTTACCAAAGTAACAGGACATGTTCTAAGTATATGTGTGTTTAATGTTCTAAGTATGCAAAAAATCAAAGGAGATGTTCTAAGTATCTGTTTTTCTGATGCTCTAAGTGCGTACTTAGAACATTTCTGATGTTCTAAGTGTAGTTGTTTTGATGTTCTAAGAAAAGGTTCCGAAATTTTGGAAAAAAATGATGTTCTAAGTAAATGTCCGTCACTATACATTTATCATCATCTATTTATGAGTTTCCATGTTGAAGCATCTCTTTTCAGTGATTCAAAAACTTGGAAACAACCAACACAGGGACAACCACACCAGGGGAAGCCCAAAAGGAGGGGCTCACGAGGAGGAAACGGAGAGACAACAAGCAGGGAACAGACCAACAGACAAGAGAGAGAGAGAGAGAGAGAGAGGAGGAGAAGGAGAGAGAGAGAGAGGAGGAGGGGAGAGAGAGAGAGAGGAGGAGGAGAGATAGAGAGAGAGAGAGGAGAAAGAGAGAGAGAGAGAAAGAGAGAGGGAGAGAGAGAGGAGGAGAGAGAGGGCGAGAGAGAGGAGGAGAGAGAGAGAGAGGAGGAGAGAGAGAGAGAGGAGGAGAGAGAGGAGGAGAGAGGAGAGAGAGAGAGAGAGAGAGAGAGAGAGAGAGAGAGAGAGAGAGAGAGAGAGAGAGAGAGAGAGAGAGAAGAGAGAGAAGAGAGAGAGAGAGAGAGAGAGAGAGAGAGAAGAGAGAGAAGAGAGAGAAAGAGAGAGAGAAGAGAGAGAAGAGAGAGAAGAGAGAGAAAGAGAGAGAGAGAGACGAGAGAGAAGAGAGAGAAGAGAGAGAAGAGAGAGAAGAGAGAGAAGAGAGAGAAGAGAGAGAAGAGAGAGGAGAGAGAGAAGAGAGAGAAGAGAGAGGAGAGAGAGGAGAGAGAGGAGAGAGAGGGGAGAGAGAGGAGAGAGAGAGGAGAGAGAGAGGAGAGAGAGAGGAGAGAGAGAGGAGAGAGAGGAGAGAGAGAGGAGAGAGAGAGGAGAGAGGAGAGAGAAGAGAGAGAGGAGAGAGAGGAGAGAGAAGAGAGAGAAGAGAGAGAGAAGAGAGAGAGAGAAGAGAGAGAGAAGAGAGAGAGAGAAGAGAGAGAGAGAGCAGGAAAGAGAGGGAGAGAGAGGAAAGAGAGGAGATGAGAGGAAAGAGAGGAGAGTAGAGAGGAGAGAGAGGGAGAGAGAGGAGAGAGGAGATGAGAGGAGAAGGAGAGAGGAGCATGAAGAGAAGAGAGATTAGGCGAGAGAAGAGAGAGAAGAGAGAGGGAGAGAGGAGGGAGAGGAAATAGAAAAGAGAGAGAAGAGAGAAAGAGAGAGAAGAGAGAGAGAGGCGGTCGAGCGAGGAAGAGAGAGAAGAGAGAGAAGATAGGGTCCAGAGAGAGAAGAGAGATGGAGAGAGAGAAGAGAGGAGAGAGAGCATAGAGAGAGAGAGAGGAAGAGGAGGATATATATAGATATATAGAGGCAAGATAATAATAGATAGAGTTAATATATATATAATATATATATTATATATATATATATAATATATATATAATATATATATATGAAATATATTATATATATATTATATATATTATATGGGGGATCGGTACATATGAGGGTACATGATATGGATGTGCAAAATTTCACCAGACTCGTGAAATATAGTGTGTATGTATGTATCTATCTATCTATCTATCTATCTATATGATGTATCCATCTACCATCTACCATCATCATCTATGAACATCTAATCTATGTGAACAGATTGTAGCCCCATTCGCCAGCCTGGAACAAACTTAACACCGACCATTTGAAGATGATTACCCCAATCCAATTCGCATCATTCCGACGTCGAGACGTGAGGATGTTATACTCAGTCTAATCTAACCCAATCTAATCTGGTTGGTGGTGCAATAACCATCTTGAAGAATATGAAAGTCAATGGGAAGGATGACATCCTATATATGATGGAACATAACATGTTTGAAACCACCAGCCAGGAATCTAATCCAATCCAATCCAATCTAATCTAATCTATCTATATTATGTATCCAAGTCATTCGAATCATATTCCATTGTGCCACCATCAAATTCATGGTTAAATCCATCTTAAATCCATGTAAACAAATCCCCATTATGTCTTCCAGATTTTTCATGGTTCAAAGCAAAATTGATGGTGAAAATCCAATGTTTTTCATATTTTCCATGTTAAATTGATTGTTAAATCCCAATTTTTTATTGTTCACTCCCCCTGAACTCCTCGTTGAACCCCCTCCACCTGGAGCGTGTGCCCGCTTCACAGCTGCCGCTGCACTGACTCCACTGTCCCTCAAGCCATCGACAGCCGTCCTGGCCGCGAATTTGGCAGGTTGGATTTCGCCAAGAAATGGCCATGCAATGGGATTTCAACGGGATTTCAATGGGATTTTAATGGGATTTAATGAGATTTCATAGTTTTATGGGATTAACATGGGATCTTAATGGGATTTCATTTGAGTATATATGACTGCCGAATGGTTACCCTCCAGGTAGCTACGTTGGTTTCCAAGTCGAAGTAGGTGAACTTTTGGGTTGATGGCGGATACAGTTGGATGGGTGCACATTTATGATATAAACCAACTTAGAAGTGGAAAACACCACTGTGCGGGGATAGGTCAAACCTATTGTGAATCTTATTTTTCCGACCATAGTGGCGATGGGCCATTGCGGAAAATCGAATGTTAGATTTCACATTCCCGCTCCAGCTCAAAGGTACGTGTCTCCCTCAAAAAAATTGTTTTGCCCTAGATTTAGTATATTATATGGTTGGGGTTGCATAGGTATATATATGATGAAGCTCAAACCTACCTTGCTGGCTCACTGGGCTCACTGCCTCCTCGCTAGCTCAAAGCTACCTTGCTGGCTCAGTGCCACGTAGCTGGCTCAGTGCCACGTAGCTGGCTCAATGCTTGGTAGCTGGCTCAGCGCCTCGTAGCTGGCTCAGTGCCTCGTAGCTGGCTCAATTTTTTCAGCGAAAAAAAAACTCCGCAAAAATTGAGCCGGCTACATGCCCTTGAGCCGGCTCGATGGCCCGTCATCAACCCGGCCAATACATAGTTAGTATTCGTTTTGATGCTCTCACATTCGTCCGCCAGCTCAACGTGACGTAGCTGGCTCAATTTTGTTTGGTGTTTTTTTTGGCTAAACAAATTGAGCCAGCTCGATGCCATTGAGCTAGCTCGATGTCTCTGAGCTAGAGCGATGTGTTTGAGCTAGCTCGATGGTGCTGAGCCAGCTCGTTGCAGTTGAGCGAGCTCGCAGAAACTTCCCAATGTGTTAAATTGCCAGGTTCTGTCCCCACTGATTAGTTTAGTACTAGATATGGTACCTCTGAAAAAGCCCAAGGTGACTGTCAAAGACATACCCCGATGAAATTGAGCCAGCTACATGTTTTGAGCTAGCTCGAAAAAATGGAAGATTGTGGATTCCACCATTGAAGAAAAGCGGAATGGGTCATGACTCTATATTATATGTTCCCCTGTTTAGAGGAAATAAAAATATATCGCCCCAGACCTTTGGGGGAGGGGGGTTGGATTTCTTTTGGTTGTCCCAACTATGCATGTTGGCCAGCGATTTCAGCTGCAAATAAGTTAAATAAATCAGCTATATTTATAACAATTTAAAATTGGTAAAGGGTTGCAACCCTATGTTAAGCGACCAGATGGCAATTCCCATTATGTTCCCATTATATCCGCAAATATATCCGCAGTATATACCTACAAACTCTGTGTTGGCCAATCCCCCCTTTCTATGGTTAACTACTCTCAACCAATCACCGGTACAGAGTGGGGCCCCCTAATTTTCCACGCCATCACTTGGCGATGAATTTATATACCAATATATATATATATATTATCATGAAGTGGCAGGCCCCACAAACTTCCAACAACTGATGGTAAACTGGTAAACAAACCAATGCCATTCCATGGATGGGCAAACCATCAACGGTTCCTTCTTTTCTTGTTAAAAATCAGAATCCGATTATCCGTGTGCGGGTCGACAAGTGACTTGGTCAAGTGACATCCTGGACATCCCCAGGGAAAACGGGGGTGCAGCAGATTCACGATCTTTGGGTCGCCAGCTGCACTTTGTCGGGCAAGTCCTCGGCTGACGGCTGTGGCTGAGCAACCTCTTTCTCATCGTGGCAACGAGCTCCAAAGCCTTCTCTTTGAGCCAGGCCAGCTTCGGGGCCGACTGACGAACCAGGCCATGGTACACGCTGTCCTTGCTCTGCCCAGCCTCCATCACTCCACCTCCCGAGGGCTCGAAATTGACATGGCAAGGCTGCTGAGGCCCTCCAAAACTTCTTTGATAAATGCTGGCCATTCACGGCCCGCGGCCCTTTCGTCCGTTTGCACTGGAGCTGAAGCGATAGAAATTGCTTTTTGCACACCTGGCACAGTGGAATTTGGCGTGGACGGGCGCGGAGGGACGCGTTCGATTTGCCGCAGAAAATAGAAGCACGAACATTTTCTGATGACAAAGAACAGATGCAAACTCGGATGCGAAACACCTTACATTGCCTCATTATATGTGAGCAAGGAATCTAAACGAATCTAAAAATATAATAAAACAATATAAAACATTAATGGATCCGTTTGCATCCACAACAAGCTATAACCCATAAGTGTCCAGTCTTTGAAGAATAATTATTGACATCTGCCGTGACCTGAAGTTAGGCAGATCACTTTTCCCCAAGTCTGCCACCACAGTGAAATGCCCCCTCTAAAAAGGAAAAAAAACAATCTTGCAATATCTTAGATTATCTTAGACATTCACCCATTTTTCATCATTTTTCCACTCTTCATCAGGTCATTTACTAGCTTTCACCACCCCAATCGGCCACCGCCCCAATCGACGGCCCCTGTCCTGCCGGTAGCAGCGCTGCAGCACACTGGGCCTCTGCACTGGGCAGTCCGAGTCACTTCCGGTGGGGCAGTGCACCACTCGCTCCTGACGCAGAAAAAATAACTACGACGGCGTCGAAAAACCATCGGCTTTCGATGTATGGTGGGAAACTGGAAATAAACATTTAGGAATTTAGGAATGATTGAGACAAAAATCTAGAGTGGTTGAGAATTGAGATGGTCCATGACATTGAGGATCCAAAACTGTTGGGTATAACAGGTAAAACGATCTAAAGAATGGGCAATTGTATGGTTCAAAGTTGGGTACCAAGGCCCACAAAAATGTCGAAGTAGTGAGCCATTGATGGGTGTGAAAGGAGTGCGCATGCGATACCAACAGCGATTAGGTGCAGGACTGACTTAAGTGTGTACATCGCAAGCACCATTGCTAAAGGAAAGGCCACAAATCTCAAAGGGTTCAATCCACAGAATCTTTGGAGTCAGGGACACATTCACAAGGGCAGAGTATGCTACATAGGTAACCCAACTATATCCTCAATCAGACTAATAAGGCCTTGCTGTGCTCAAGCCCTTCGCTCTGGATCATTAATATAATAAGATCTTTTTTTTATAAGTACATCATATCATATCTCCCCCAAAAAACAGATTTAAGGAATCTTTTCAGGTAATCTGTTTAGGATGGATGTCCTACGGTAATTCGCATCACTGAGGTCCAGCTTCGTCAACAGTGATCCCTGGGCCAGCCTGGTGCCCGATGCCACACGACACGTTGCACAGCTGCCAGGCGTCCACTTGCCAAGCGCAGTTGGCGGCGCTGAAACAACTCCTACGATCTGTGGAAACGCTAAGCTGAGGAGTTTTTGGTGCGGCAAACATGTTATTATATTATCTAAGGGATATGTATGTATGTATATATATATGTAATTATTATATACCATCAGATATATATATATATATATGTATATATATTTATATATTGTATGTATATATATGATGTCTGTTTCGATCTTCTATATATTATCTATTAGATGATCTGTGATTAGATTTTCTTTGATATTAGATGATTAGACGATTAGTATGTCAGATGATTTGAATGGGAATCAACATCCCATGCTGGTTCGCTGGTTATTTGATCTTTCAGCTACAAAAATTCGATAATCATATGCAATGTGTGTATATATATATATGTGCAGTACATATGCAATGTGTGTATATATATATATGTGCAGTACATATGCAATATCTATGCAAACAGGTGGGCTTGAATGGGACAACATCTCCCTTCTACATAGCTGTGTGGGCCTTTGCTATTGTTCTTTCAATCGGGATCATGGTAGATCCAGAACAACATGGAACTCTCTCAAGAAGTAGGCACATAAAATTACATCAACATATCTTATCAAATCTTCAAATCTTAAAGCAAAAAGAATTGAGCTCTCAATTGAATTGGTTTGCCCTTGATGTTGACGATGATGAATCCATCGAATCCCGACACGACGTGCTGAAAAATCCTTGGATCAACATCGATTATGGGTCGAAGTGAAAAATACCTGTTCGTTCTTCCCACTTCTTGCAGCTAAAGTGTCATCTATTTATCCGATATATAATATAACATATATAACAAATATAACATATATAACAAATATAACATGTATAACATATATAACATATAGACCATATATAACATATATAACATATATAGCATATATAACATATATAACATATATAACATATATAACATATATATATATACTATATTTCTACGCCAACATGATGGTCTCCACTTGCTCCTCGAAGAGCTGGGCTTCGTCGTGGCGCAATCCACATCGCCTTGGGGGCTGCTGCAGGTGATGCTCCGGACCTGACATGGTGATGTCCAGGCAATGCACAGCGGGAAAGAAAGGGAGAAAGGGGGGAAGGAAAGGAGGGGGAAGGGAAAGGGAAAACGACAGCTTTAAACGTTTATGAATATATGATTATATCCCATTAATATACATATATATGGTTTATATGATTATATCCCATTAATATTGATCCCATATAGTGATGGTAATATAATTATATCCCATAAAAAATGAATAGTGATGGTTTATGTTTATATCCCATTAATCAGAAATATCAATTTATAACTATATTAGATCGTAATATACCATATGGTATTCTAAAAGAAATATCCCATATGCTCCATGGTGCTGGAATATGCACACCAACATTTGCCCGAACAAAATCACCCAGTCATGTAGGTAAATATACCAGCACCATAGGTTGCAGGGTGTTTATGCATAGTGTATATGGATAATTGGTGATATATTCATGATATGAAATGGATAATACACTATATGATATGATAATTGGTGATCTATATGTATATATGAACACACTATATGATATGGATAATATCATTATCCGATTAATACCACATAAAGATATTGGTATATATATACATATTGATGATACTTGATTATATATAGCAAATGATGATAATGATGGCAACAGAAATTGCGATGTGAGACCAGCATAGACCTGCAAACCTGGTGATGCCGTTTCAAACACCGCGATGAAACCAATGAAGAAGAGCTGATGAAACCAAGAAAAACGCTGACAGAACCAACTGCAATTGAGATGATACCAACAAACATATTGAGGATGGACCAATTGAAATGGTGAACCGACAAATAGGGGGCGATGAAACCAACAACATGATGTGAAATCGGCAACCAAAATATACCAAAAACGCAAGCAGACCAACGAACATGATGATGATAGCAACATAAATTGTGAGGATACCAACCACAATGCTGATGAGATGTGATGATATGGAGGTTGCCTAAAACGGGGGTACCTCCAAATCATCCAAATCATCCACATTTAAAAGGATTTTCCCTTATAAACCATCCAGCTATTGGGGTACCCCATTGTAGGAAACCCCAATAGATGACTGGTTGGAGGTATACCTACCCCTCTGAAAAATATGAGTTCGTCAGTTGGGATTATGAAATTCACATTAATATGGGACAATTAGTTTAATTTACTTCGTGTGATCCCCACCATGACATTTATACATTTCTTACTGGCAAATCTTCTGGCATTCTATCTGACATATCTTCTGACATTCTATTTGGCATTCTATCTGGCATATCTTCTGGCATATGATCTGGCATATCTTCTGGCATATCTTCTGGCATTCTATCTGGCAAATCTTCTGGCATTCTATCTGGCATTCTATCTGGCATATCTTCTGGCATTCTATATGGCATATCTTCTGGCATTATATCTGGCATATCTTCTGGCATTCTATCTGGCATATCTTCTGGCATATCTTCTGGCATTCTATCTTGCAAATCTTCTGGCATTCTATCTGGCATATCTTCTGGCATTCTATCTGACATTTCTTCTGCACATTCTTTGTCCCATATTTTCCTACATGAGGTCCGGCAGGGAACACTTGGCGTGGATACTCGCGGTTGAGGTCCGGCAGGGAACACTGGGCGTGGATGGTCGTGGTTGAGGTCCGGCAGGGAACACTGGGCGGGGATACTCGCGGTTGAGGTCCGGCAGGGAACACTGGGCGTGGATGGTCGTGGTGAGGTCCGGCAGGGAACACTGGCGGGGATGGTCGTGGTTGAGGTCCGGCAGGGAACACTGGGCGTGGATGGTCGTGGTTGAGGTCCGGCAGGGAACACTGGGCGTGGATGGTCGTGGTTGAGGTCCGACAGCGAACACTGTGGATCGCGAGTCGCAGTTGAGCAGGAGGACGAGGAGGAGAAGGAGGAGGAGAAGGAGGAGAAGGAGGAGGAGGAGGCAACTGACATAAAATCCAACAACCCTCACCTGGCAGGTGGGGAAAAAACTGACCATGTGCAATCTTTTTGAAATCCAAAATGAAAAAAAACAAGGCCGAGAGCTATGTTTTTTCAAAAAGCTAACTAGTTAGCTAACTAGTTATAAATAGTTATGAAGTAGTTAGCTAAACATCTTAATTGCCATAACATGTTAGCAAGCCCCCAGAACATCAAAGCACCGGCAGTGCCAGCAGTGGCATGCCCTGCAGCGGCTCCAGAGCCTGGCCGACGCTGTCCGCACACACTCCACCTGGGTATGAGCGTGTGCGCGATAGCGAGAAGTGCGCTGCTCGCCTCCAGCGCGTTCCGGCCAGAGACACGGCATCGACGGAGCCCGCAGATGCCCTCCCCGCCGCAGAAACGGAGGCGGCAGCCGCTCCGCTGTCGACCGCTGTCTCTACGACGCATGAAGGGGCAGCTCAGTGGCTTGGCCCTGCGGCGGAAGATAGCAACGGAGAAGGCGCCGCGGAGTCCACTGATGAGGCAGCTGCTGCAGATGGGGAGGCACCTGAACTGAAAGCTGCTGCTTCGCTTCAGAAAGAGGAAGAGAAAAAGGAGGAGCTGAAGCTGGAAAAACTCGAAGAGATAAAAGCCGAGATGAAGGAGGAGCCCATGGACGAAGTGGTTGAGCCCTCTGGCAGCGCTTCTTCGGCGGCGGCATGCCCCGCTCCACCAGTGCATCCGACTGGCTCCCGACGCAAGTCGCGTCGGCGTAAGTCACCGGTGGTGCACCGCGGTGTGCTGGCCCCACCTGTCCCTGCAGATGCTCTCATGATCAGCAAGGAAGAGGTGGAGGAGCTCGAGGACGCAGAAGTGATTCCTGGACCTTGGATGCTGCAGCCGATCGAAGCCACTAGCCCTGCTTCTGAGTCATCAGAGGATTTGCCGGTGGGGATTCCGGTCGCGGCAGTGCCTCCGGGGTCCGCAGACACGGCACCTGATAAATCCGATTGAGGTTTACCCGATCGGTCGAGGTTGCTCGTTCCTGCGCGTTTTGGAACCGATATGGTTCGCAGCGGAATCGACTGGAATTCCAGCAGGTACAGACGAGCTTGCTTGGGAAAAAAAAAGTCCGCATCATCGCAACTCTGCTCGAAAGTGTGAGGTACGTTCTATTTCTCCACATGGTTTTTGCTCTATACTTTGTTATGCGTCTTTAGATCTAGATCTATAGTTTGTACATCGTGTTTCCAATAAGTTGACCTTTTTTTTCCCTTAGATGGTCTCAATTATTTTTGTTCCTTTCTTCATTTTTTCTTACTTTATATTCTTCGCAATAAAAAACAAAAATATAAAAATTACTCATTTTCAAAAACAATACTTAAAATTTAAAATTGATTTCTTTCTTTATTTCAAAACAAAAAACGTACAATATCTTTAAAACTTGTACATTTTTTCAAAATTTTTTGAAATTTTTAAAATTTTTAAAAATTTTTAAAATTTTTATTTTTTTATTTTATTTTTTAAAAAATAAAAATATATATAATTATATATATATATATTTAAAAAGTTTAAAAGTTTTTATTTCTTTAAAAAAAAATATTTTTTAAAAATTAAAAATTGAAAATTTTTATAAAGGTTACATTTTTTCTTCTTTATACTTCCATATTTTTTTCTTGGGAAAAAAGTAAGTTTTGCTTTGTATCAACCCGAATGGGATTTCAATATGTTTCTCGCAATATTTCAAAGCAGACTTGCATGCAATCTGTTTCCCACTGCAGCCGTTTTTGCCATTTGGTTCCTTTGTGTTCGGAGGCGTGTCCCCAAACTCGACACCGCCTCGCCAATGCAGAACGAGGCTTGCACCGTTCTCTTCAAATATACCCATGTGGGTTCTGGGCGTCAGGACGAATGGCTTGTCCTTTGTCCTGACAGCCGAGTTGTCTTCGCAAGGAAGACTCGCGGCGGCCGCCGCGCGTTCGGAAGCGTGGGATCTTGGCGCCCCACCAGCAGCGGCTTCGACCTTGTCGCATGGGCTTGCTGCTTGGGCGCCAAGAGAAGAGACTTGAGTTTCCACAGAATCCATAATAAAATCCACCAATGGGAATCTCAAGCTGATGGCGTCACGAGACGCGTCCTGTTGATGGGGTGGACGGCCCCACCTATCCCACAGCTGTGCGACATGACCCAGCGACCAGACCCAAACCTGCTGGCCATTGCCGACACCGACCAAGTGGCCGACGAGGGATGGATCCTCGTATAGGTTGGCCTCAACTGCCAACGGAATCGACGTGGCTGTGACCCGTCTGGCAAGAGCACCCAAGGTGCCAATGGGAATCGACGTGGCACTGACCCGTCGTGCGCCTTTCGGCAGTTTGCTGCTGACAACACGTGAATCTTGGACATAGGCAAAAAGGGAGCGTGCGGCTTGCATCGAAAGGGGTGACACCCTATAGTCTGCAGAAAGGCAGAGTTGCCCACTGTGTATTCCGCAGCCATTTAGCGTGGTAGCTCCTCGCAACGTGAACGCGGCGTGTCCCGTGGCAGAGGTCGAGGCACATCCCGATCAAGACATGGCACCTCGGACAGATAAACGCAACGCAGCAAAGGCAAAGGCAGGCAAACCGCGAGCCAAGGAGAAGGCGGCCTCTGTTCGCCGAGACAAGACGAAAACCGCTGACGGCACGCCTCCCGAGGTGAACACTGATGAGGCATGCCCATCGGCAGCAACTGGAAGCGCAAAGGAGGCAAACTTAGGCGCTTTCGAGGCACCCAGATTGTTAACAGCTCTGAAGTATCAGATTGTCTCCAAGAAATCCACCCCCAGCCACAAGGAAGCAGCACAGAAGCTTTTAGATGAGTATAAGAATGGTGACCACAAGCGCAAATGGAATATCCTTGAGTCGTTGACCAACAGAGGATTCCAAGACTTGACATGGACCCATTCTCGCAGTGAAGCAAGCACTCGCAAGGAGACAGAATCGTCGGAAGTTTTGTCAGGGATGATGACACGAGCGAAGATCTTGCAACTGAACGGCTTCGATGAGCAGCAATTGGAGGAAGCAGAAGCCACAGAGCTGCTGGAGGACCTTCTGCAGGAAAGTGAGTCCCTGCACGAGCACAAACGTAACAAGGTGCCTCACCGCAATCCGAGGTTATGTCGCTACTTCTACAAGTTCAACGTTGGCACAAAGGAAGGCGAGCACTTTGAAAAGGAAGATCGGCTGGAGGCATATGCGGAAACCAAAGGACAGAAGATCATGAAGAGCTTGGATGATGCCAAAGACAGTTCGGGTGAAGGCAGTTCCGACAGCTTCAAGGCATGGTCGTCCATGATGGGACATTTGAAAAAATTGAAGACCCATATGCAAACCCTAGAAGACCAAGTCTTTGTGGCGGAGAAGCGCATGCAGGCATCAAAGCACGAAGACCTGGCTGTCCGGCAAGCGGAATTGCAAACGGCAAAGAAGAAGCTGCAGGATGCGTTACAAGAGCTTCGAATGCACATCATGGACTCCACCACGAAGCACAAACGCACGGATGACTGCACCAACTCAATCCGGGAGCGCGAGGAGCTGAAGCAAAAGGTGGAGGACGCGAAAGCTGAGTGTGCTGCCCAGATTGAACTGAGCCGCAAGTGCTGGGTTTAGTGGGGCATGCCCGCGTCTCATATCCAGAGATAATCCTGGAAATTTTGCGTATGAGGCGTAGTGAACTTTCAATTTTGAAGAGCAGACCACGGCGAGGCATCGAAAAAAGGCAGCGTGTCCCAAGCGGTGTAGGCGCGACGAAGCCAAGACAATGTTTACTTTCATACTTAACTGCTTGCATATGTGATGGTGCGTAGGCGTGCTGGCTCAACAGGCCAAAGGTTTTGCGCTTGGTGGAAAGGCTTGCCTTCTGTGCAGGGGGGAGAGCGGCAAGGCGTGCCTGCCGTGTAGTCGGATTAGGTGGACGGCGTGGCTTCCGCCTGGATCCTTCCTTCGACCACACGGAGGTGTCTTCGCGATGTATCACAAACGCGTCGCACCTGAGTATCGCACTTCTCCAGACAAGAGATTGCGCAGTGAGTTTGTGGACCTCTTCCTTTCCAACGCGGCAAGCTCATCCCGTGTGTCTCGCCTCGCACAGGCAGCGCATGAAGCTGGTGTCGTTGGCATGGAGGAGTTGGCACACCGAAGCAGAGAGGATTCGACCAACAAGGCACGGGATATCACAAGAATGGCTCATCGATATAAGAAATGGCCGAAAGTTTACGAAGCCACTCTCCGAGGACGCACCGTGGCAAAGGAAGAGGAAGTCCAATGTCGGTGTTCCATGCTATTGCCTCATGAGTTTGTCTACGTTCTGTGCCAGCACAACGACCTCAGCACACTGCTGCAAACACAAGAAGCGTTGCTAGCCAAACGCCCAGATTTGACACCACACCATGTGGAAAACACTCTCTGGTTAGGTCTATGGCAGGATGGGGTGCCATTCAACGCCAACAGAGAGCATTCGCTCGAATGTTGGAGCTTATCCGTGCTGGCTTGCGAAGGCTTACGGATCCCACTCTAAGACTTCTAAATTTATTTATTTTCACATCAGGCACTTAATGAAAATATTAGTAGTTATCTTAACTTATCATAGAAGTCATTTTTACTTATTTTCACTTATTTTCACTTAATTTAGGTTATTTTTTCATTATTTTTTACTGTTTAAAATTGATAAAAGACGAAAGATGTTTCTGTCATAGGGTTTTGTAAAACATCTTTGAATTAAAAAAATATAAGAATGTTGCGTTTTCTGTTTTTTGTTTGGATATTTTCATGGTTCCGATTTTATATATCTATGTATATATATATATATTTCTGAATATTGCGATTTTTTTCGAATTATCTAAATTTCCTAAATTCTCTGGATTTTCTGAAATTTTTGAATTTTCTGAATTTCAGAATTTTCATATTTTTTTTGTTTTTTTTTAATTGTCTGAATTTTCTGAATTTTCAAATTTTCTGAATTTTCTGTTTTTTTCTAAATTTTCTGAATTTTCTGAATTTAATATATTTATATATATATATATCTGAAATTTCTGAATTTTCTGAATTTTCTGAATTTTCTAAATTTTCTAAATTTTCTGAATTTTCTGAATTTTCTGAATTTTCTGAATTTTCTGAATTTTAGATTTTTTTTTAATTTTCTGACTCTTCTGATTTTTTTAAATTTTCTAAATTTTCTGATTTTTTTGTTTTTTCCGACTTTTCAACATTTTTCAATATTTTCTTCATTTTTTTAAATTTTCTCATTTTCAAAATTTTCTGACGTATATACATTAAAAATAATAAATTTGTTACCTTCTGTATGTTTAAGCATTATAAATTTTCTCAGTAAGTTACTTTTCTCCATTTATTTCTATTACAATCTTTTTTTGAGTGGTGTGTATTGTTTCCATGTCCATCAATGTTGAAAACTGACAAAAAAACATATTTTTACTTATTTTCGCTTCTTTTCCCTTATTTCAACTTATTTTTGAATAATATTCCACTATATTTACTTATATGTTCATTATTATGTTACAAGTTCACCTAAACGATTAGTGGAACTTAAAACAAAAAAATAAAAAAAACAATTTAAACAAGATATTAGCAAGATAATAGCAACTTATAATATACTTATAACTTCATTAAGTGCCTGATGTGAAAATAAATAAATTTAGAAGTCTTAGCTGACAGCCTGGCCTCGCGACTTGCAACTGAAAAGAACAACCTGTGAAGATTATATTGCAATACTTAAATGGTCCTTCGAATGTTTGGATCGCAATGAGATGCCACTGGCTCGACACGATGGCTCCGCCTTTGGCTACTCCGATAGTTGGCGCAAGAGTCGCGCAGGCAAAGTCATTGGTGCCCGAGGACGCCTCGTCGAACTCAGCGCTGATTGGAGCATGTTTAAGCAGGTGCTGGGCCTTCCGGGATGGCAGGAGACTGGACCCTGCTGCTGGAAATGCGGCACCAGTCGCACGTCCCTGCAAGACGTCGGTCCCCATGCTGCATGGCGCCGTGACAGGTTAAGCCATGCAGAGCTTCTGCAGCGCCAAGCAGACCATGCGAAATGGACCTCGACATTCTTCGACATCCCTCACGTGACCGTGGACACCATCAAAATCGACTGGCTTCACGCAGCAGATCTTGGTGTGATTACAGATTTTTTGGGTAATTTCTTCTGGTATCTCACCATGTTCAAGGTCAGTGGTGGCATGCGCCACGGCACGCATCAGCAACGATGCGAAGAGTTTTTCAACACAGACATCAAAGGGTATTATGCTCGAGAGCGCATCGAAGATCGGATCCCTTGTCTCAGGCCAACAATGTTGAAAAAGGATGGTGGGAGCTATAAGCTCCGAGCCAAAGGTGGGGAAACCCGAGGCTTAATTGGAGTAATCCGCGAATTGATTGCAAAGTATCTCGATGGAGGCGTGCCCCTCGAGCGAGCCATGGGGCACACCGGACAACAAGTGGTAACAATGTATGCATGCTTGTCGCGCACGAATTGGTGCCCAGTCGTTTTCGAAAGCGCAAGCATAGCGTTTATGAAAGGCATGGTGTGGCTGGAACGCTTCCATCAGAGACAGGACGATCACACGTCTTGGCGACTGAAACCCAAGTCTCATCTGCTGCTGGAGCTCGCTCGTGAAGGCACGAATCCGTCGTTAACGTGGTGTTACCGCGATGAATCATGGGGTGGGGAAGTTGCTGAGCTGGCACGCCGCAGTGGTGGTGCCTTCACGATCCTGGCAGTCTCCCGCCAGATGTTGTTTCGTTTCCTCGCTCGGGAATCGTTCCCCCGTGTCTAAGTCAACCTGCTGCAGACCTGGTAAAAAAAAAAAGCGGGCGCGACGCTGCGCGGATCCGGTGGTCATGCCTTAAGCGATATGTCACATGTGTGCTATCGTTGCTTTGGCTCGCATTTAGTCAGTGGTTTAAACCTGACACGCTGAAGAGATAGAGGCATACCCTATCCGCATCAGCCGTGCCATGTTTGACGGAATTTTGTCTTTCTTACCCTTGGCCTCCTTGTATCAGATGCGAAGCATCAATAGAGCAACGTGTCGCACCATTGAGTACATGGACGAATTTGTCAACAAATATTCCGAAGCTTTGTTGCTCTTAAATAAAGCACCGTCGCCCATGCTCGACATCGAAGAAGATCTCGATCTTGAAGGCGAAGCAGTTCTACAAAAAGAGCAAGCAGCCGAAGAGGAACGAAGAGCACGAGCTCGCAGCCGCTCGAGAAAGCGACAACAGAAGAAACGTGACAGCATCCACCGACGACAAGATGGACGCTATCAGAGCTTTTCCGATTCTTCTTACTCCTATAGAGGCATTGCTCTAGACATGTCAAGGCTTGCCTCGACCAAACCGCAATCCCAGACGACCTGCTATGGAAAAAAAAACGCCGCTGATAAAATAAATAAATAAACAAAAAAAATTAAGCGATGTAAAAAAAACAAAAACCTTGCTTAAATTTAAGCAAGGTTGCTTAAATAAGCTAACCTTGCTTAAAAAACATAACCTCTCTTAATAAAAGTCGTTAATTAAGGACTTTTACCTTAATTAAGAAAGGTTTTCTCTTAATTAACGTAAAAGTCGTTAATTAAGGAAGGTTAATAAGCAAGGTTACCTTAAATAAGCAAGGTTTCATTAATTAACGAAGCACGGAACTTCTGGGTAACCTATCTATTCTAATCTAATCTAATCTAAAATCTATCTATCTATCCATCCATCCATCCATCTATCCATCCATACATCCATCCATCCGTCCAGCTAGCAAGCAAGCAAGCTGCTAGCTAGCTAGCTAGCTAGCTATCTAGCTATCTATCTAGCCATCCATCGATTCATGTTCTTACGTCAAGTTCTTACGTGCTATGGTGGAACTTTTCTGCGCACTGCCATGTTGAGTCAACCCGCCTCCATAGCAAGAGCTGCTTCAACTGCACCAAGCTGGCCGGCTGCCGGGTGGCGGGGGGGGCCGGGCGGGCCGGGTGGCCGGGGGGCCGGGGCAGTGTGGCCGGGGGTGGAGTGGGCGGGGTGGGAGGGGTGGGCGGGTGGCGGGAGGGCGGGAGGGAGGGCGGCAGGGTGGCCTGGTGGCCGGGCGGGCCGGGTGGCCGGGTGGCCGGTGGACGGGTGGCCGGGTGGCAGGGTGGCCGGGTGCAGGGTGGCCGGGTGGCCGGGCCGTGGCCGGGCCGTGGCCGGGATGGCCGGCAACTAAAAAAGTAGGCTATTGTGTGCGCAGTATGGATACAAAACATCACAAAACTAATTAAAATCCAGTACGCCATGCAAAGCAAACCATAAAGGAGCTGGGCAACAACCCGGGCCAGGCTTGTTCAGTTTATCTGGACATACCGTGACTCGGGGGCAAGAGAAACTGTTCTGATTGGGCTACTGGCAGAAACCTGCGAGCTTGGGAGGGGCACAATCTGGATGCCGAGACTAACCCTGCGGCGGATTGGAAGCACACTTGGCCCAGCCAAGCTTCATGCTCTTGAGCGTTTCTTTGGCCCAGTCTTCACATTCGAAACGGTGCTTCTGCTCAAAGTGCGCCAACATCAGTCGCTTGTTGGAGCCCAGGTGATTGCCTGCAGTACCAGCATCGAGGGCAACATCTCGCAGCAGGAGATAAAACAAGTCGTCAGGAAGACGATGATGGATGCAATCATCGTGCCGAAACGCTCAGTCAATTCCGCTATGCGATTATGCCCGGGCCACCAATTGTATCAGTATGAAACTTAGTAGCGGATTAGACATGACTATAAGATACTGTAAAAAATGCTTTAATAAGATACTGTGAATTGTGTGGAACATCATTTTCTCGTTTGTGGCCCTATTGGCCCAACTTTCCCATTCAAGGGACGGGATCCCTAGGGTCAAGCCAACCTGGCTACATGCTGTGCAGCCCCGAGCCAAAAGGGTTGCTTCGCACTTCGCGCTTTCCTGCACTTCGAGTGGCAGGGCTTTGCATTGGGTTTCTGCTGCTACCCATCAGCAGTGGTAGCGGAGCTCTTTGCTCCAAAGCTCTACTACAACACTACATCGAGCCCAAGGACACCTACAACTTCACCTACATCCATCCCCTGCGCAACTCTCCCTACATCATTGACTACAATAACCCCACCTGGTCTCGCACTACAACCTGCTCTACAAATTCGACCTGGACTTCGACATCGCGTGCCGCGATTTTCTGGACTTTGTCAACGGCCTGGACGACCAGTATGCCAACGGCAACTGACTGGCATGGAGATGCAGAAGGGCACATACATCCCTGTCTTCACAAACCGACCGCAAGACTACAGGGAGTGGCGACAACGGATCAATCTCTACAGGCGCAAGCTGGAGTTGCATAACAAATCGAAGGAGGCCGTGCTGAATGTCTTGACCTCACTACATGGTGTGGCTTGGCGACAACTGCAGCCGAAGGTGGAAACCATCTTGGCGAAGGAGGACGGGGGCTTCGATTTGATCCTGGCCGAGCTGGCCGCCACGTTCCGCTACAACGAGGACGTGGAGATGCCTCGAGCTTTCGAGCGCTTTATATGGCTTGAACCGGAAGCCGGACCAGACGCTCCTGGCCTACGTTGCAGATCATCGAGAAGCTCTACATGAAGTGGAAAATCATGGGGTGCAGATATCCGACAAGGTGAGTGGCTGGATCCTGCTTCGCCGCTCAGGACTTTCAAGTGAGCAGAAGCAACTGATTCAAAGCCAGTGCCCCACGCTCTCCTATGACAAGGTGGTTGAGGCGATGTTCTTCCTTTTGAGGCAGGACTACAAGAGCCGAAGCCTGGACGGCCAGTCCACAAGGTGGAAAGACAAGACCTACGGACGATGGTCCAACAAGAACTACGGCTATACATGGTGGAAGAGCGCTACAACATGCAGGAGCCCTACAACGACGACTACGCCTATACCAGCAATGGGATGAAGGCGACTACGAGGATGAAGAGTACGAGGACTTGGAAGAGCCCTACACGGACAACACCTACGGCGCCAACGACTATGAGGACACAGAGTTCCCTGACGGAGGCCTTGGCGATGATGGCATTCTGGAAGAGGCCTATGCGGCCTACTTGGATGCGAGGAGACACTTCGCACAACTGAAGGCTGCCAGAGGCTACTTTCCAGTTGTGGCACTTGCAGACTCTGGCTCACCAATGGCGGCGAGCTCACAATCTCCAAAGCCACCCAAGGGCCGAGGAAAAGGACGTGGGAATGTAAAAGGAAAGCCTTCTTACCGACAGTCAAACCCTCCTCAGAAGGGATCAGCTGCACCGAGGGCCAATGCAACTCGATGTCTACGATGTGGACAAGTTGGCCATTGGGCTGCCAATTGTACAGCCTCTCCAACAAGGACGAGCCATACACCATCAACTACGTCCTCACCTACGAAGAAGGCCAAGACGGACTCTGCCATGATGGTCCGCGACCTTGCAAAACATGTTCCTGCTGGACTTCCACTGCTGAGCTCTGAAGGCCTCTACGGCATCCAAGCTGGTGGTGCCTCATCAGTGGTGTGCGGACATGATGTCTTGATGCGCATCATTGATCACATGAAGGCACGTGGAGTCCCAGTGGTAAAAATTTCTCTTCGCCACCAACAAGGTGTTTGGATTTGGAGGAGACGCCAACAGGCATGCAGACTGGTCAGTCAAACTTCCAGTCTACATTGAAGGTCAGGCTGGATACATTGAGACTTTCATTGTGGAGGGCAACACGCCTTTACTGATCGGCCGACCGATCCTCCAAGCCCTGAACATAAGATCGACTACAGCTCCAACCAAGTATCCATCCAAGATGGTGATTGGGAAGCTTTGACTATGACACAACGGACACCTGTGCTGCCATCACCAACTACGAGGACTTGGACGACTACATCTCCATCCACGACTACCTGACGATGACAAAACGAAGCCCACCAGAGACTGCCTTCCTGGAGGACGACAACAAGGATGACGACACCTCCGACTTTGAGGAGACCTATGACCCTGCAGCCGAAGATGATCCTTCTGCAGTTCGACGCCCCATCACTACGAGGATCATCAAGACCATGCACATGGAGTTCAACAGCTTCAACCAGAAAAGGTGTGAGACAATGGAGCAAGTGCTGTTTGCACACCAGAAGGGCAAGCGCATCTTCTGGGAAGCCTACAGCGGCAGTGCCTACCTCTCAGCTGTCATGGAGCCTCAAGGATGGGAGGTAGCCAACTTCGACTACAACTCTGGATGGGATTTTGACATTGCCCAACATCGACGAGAATTCCTGGAACTCCAGGACAAGACCTGCCCAGACTTCATCTGGTACAGTCCCAAGTGCACCGAATGGTCACCACTTTAAAACCTCAACACGCTGACTGAAGAGCGACGACATGCCCTTCAAGCTGAACGGGACTACCAGGAGAAGGTCCACTTGAAGATGTGCCGCGGAAGCTACTTGAAGCAGCGATGAGAGGGCAGACATGCTGCACTGGAACAACTGGAAGACCAGAACTCCCCATGATCTTCCTGGAAATCAATGCAACCTGGACCAATGCCAGTTCCAAGCAACGCTGCCTGATGAACATGGCCAAGACCAGTACATCAAGAAGCCAGCACGACTTCAATGCACCGACGAGGGCATGGCCATGGAACTTGCACGTCTTTGCCCTGGAGATCACTACCACCTTCCAATCGAAGGAAGCTCTCCTGAGTCCTGGAGTTGGCAATCGAGCAGAAGCTTCAGGTGTCTACCACAAGGCATTTTCTGCAGCATGATCAGCCAGTTGATCATCAACATCTTCGTCACGCAGGAGCCCTCACG